ACTGTCTATGACTTACGATAATACGGCGGACGAAACAACAACACAAAGGAAAGAGAACAAGAGAACAACAAGCTAGCTAAGAGAGAAAACCCGGCCGATCGTCTGCGGACACGCGCGTACCGCGTTAAAACACATACTCTTAGAGAGGTGCACGCTTAATGAGACGTAGAGAGGTCAAAAAGGTGTACTTAAATTCCACAGTCCCGCTCGCAGAATGGAAATAGATGTAATCTAAAACTCCCCCCGTTGCTGGACACTGTCACCGATCTATGGGAATACACAGGGTGCACCGTGCAAGAGTTATCACTGTTCCTTCTTACAGGGCCTTCGGGCAACTGGCGGCCCACGGGCTACCTGCGATTTCCGCTCGCAGTTTATGGCACTCTACTTGCGGCGTGTAAAGGTCGCTGATGGAAGTAAATAAACAGTGAGGGAAGTGGCACGTGGCTCGCAGGCCGCCAGCGATACCTGACCTGCTTAACGCGTTGAATACTGTGGGGGTCACCGGTGATCCCCAACCAAATTAAATGGCTAATTCATTCGAGTAAAGGATAATTGATTTGACAACGTTTCTGTATTATAAACAATGTGTAAGATAAAGCGGTGACATTCAGTAAGATAAACGTCCAAAGAATAACGCAACTCGATCAAAAGATGTATTATGTTTGTTGGATTATGTGTATTTCGTTTGGTGAAGTCGTCCGGTATTCAACGTGTTAATGATGATGATTGGTACGCTGAGAGGGTAGAGGAGGATACGTTATGGAAAATATGAGAATATAATTTTTTTAGAAGGGCACTTCGACACAGTGATGATTCCCAGGGACACGTTGTATATTTCCGTAGATCGAATCGTTGCTTATTTATTTTCTTCTCGCGCTGAACTGTTCTACTTCTGATTCTTCTGCGGAAAAGAGAAACTGTTTCATTCCTTTCTCTCGTGGCCATCTTGCGTTGCGAGTTCTAGCGTAAGATACACTTGCATTAAAATGGTGACCTATTTCATACTCGCTACCTACTAAGCAGCAGCTCAATCACGACGAAGGGTGTGTTTGGGGGAGAATTCTATGAACTCGTAATGCGTGGATCGTGACCAACGTTTCACTCTCCTTACACGAATAGAAACAAGAGAAAAAAAGATTATTAATAATGGTATTAATAATATTAATATTAATATTAATATATATATATATATACGAACATACATACATATATATATATATACACATATATATATATTTTAAGATACACGATACCGTTCTTCATCCTTCAGCGAATATTTCTTTTTCTTTTTTCTCTCTCCTTTGACAAATTATCCACGCAATTTTAACTACATACGATGAAAAGAAAAGGGAAAAAAATATTAATAATAATAAATGATATAATGTCTAGAGAGACACTCCTCGGTCCCCTCCCGCGGGAGGGATCAAGGAAGATCGAGGGAAAAGCGTTTTTAATATTTCATAAACGAGCACGTCGTGATTCGTCTGCGTTTACTTGTAATTATAAGCATTTTTACTTAACGACTTTTACTTAAACGAGTGTGTGGTAACACCGTAGGTACTAGAGGGTATAACGTTACATTGTAATCCGTAGAAAAAGTCGAAAACGAAAAAAAATGATCGGTGTGACTATGTGAATATGCCCTAGCGAAATTAGGTGGCGATTTACGTAGGGATAGCCAATGCAAATTAATACACGTAATCCGTATCTAGCGAATGAAAAACGTATTCGAGATTCAGTTTATAGTGTGTTCTCAGCGAGTCGATACTGATGCGTTCTTTGAGACTCTATTCTTCATTGATTCTTATTGTTGTTTAATCAGTGGCGATGACTCCGCTCTGGATTTCAGTATTTAAGTCTTGTGCAATTGCTACGTTTGTTCTACTCTTCCGTGGCCGACTTTATCGATAAATTATACGGAGTAGGAAGGAAGGAAGGAAGGAAGGAAGGAAGGAAGGAAGGAAGGAAGCGAGTAAACTGTCCAAGAGTAATAAAACCGCGTTTTAACGAGCACCATAGAACACCGCGTCATTCTAAGACATCGGAATAACGAGTAGACTGCAGAGGTTTACGCGAATTCAAGTTTCGCAGAACAGCAACTACATGAAAATTGTTTTTCTTTCTTCTGTCTGTATAGTTGCTTTAATTTATTATTAGAATTTAAAAAAAATAAACAAACCCCCCCTGAGATTCTATGGAGCATGCGTAAATGTTGTGGCAGTCCAAGTGTCGATTATCTGAAAAAGAAACCGTCGTTAGTGTCTTTTATTTGATAGAATTTGGAACAAGTGTGGAACGCGTAAACTCAGCGGTCTAATAACAAAGTAAGAATTCATAGAAATGTCCACTCGGCGCCATACTGAATCGGCAAACCTCGTCCGCGATGTACGAATTCACCGAACACGCGTGCACCCTTTGCTACGTTGAGCGCAATTTCTATTTCCGCCTGAATTTATTACCGTACTGTCGATATGTAGATTAACCGAGCATAACTCGAGCGCAACCATATGATAGTTTTACCGAGAACGTTGTCTTGCATATTGTATATACATAATTATATACAATGGGGGAAAATCATCGTCTATGATCTTCGTAAACGTGATGATTTTTTGTAAGGTATGCACCTGGTCGAAGCGTAAAGAATTTTTACTTCATCCCGAAGCTACTATTGATATTTCACCAGATTGGTATTGTACATGTGGCTGTAAGAATTCTTTATGAATAAAGATTGTTGTAGAAAACGTCAGAATGATCATTCCGCCTCTTTCGAATATATTATTTTTATTTAAAGATCGTTACAAAAAGTAGATGTTCTGTTCGACGTGTTCAGAGTAAAAATTTTATGAAGACTGGCATTACGTTACCCTATGCTTTCCCCTTTAGTATTTCAGCACTGCTCTCAAGCTAAAACGGAAGAAAATTATTTCGCATCGTAAAAGTAATATTATAAGTTATTTTATTAACTGTCTTAAGTATTAAGTGTATCATTTACCAGGATCCTCCATGCAATAAATCAAATCCCTCGTTAATTTTCTCGAATGGAAGAGTATGTGTGATAAACTCATCCAGCATTAGAGACTTTGACAAGTATTCCTGTACCAGTTTAGGTACACTGTCTTTAGACTTCCAACCACCGAATGCAGTTCCTTTCCATACTCGACCTGTCACCAACTGGAAAGGACGAGTACTGATCTCCTGCCCAGCTGCAGCTACACCCACAATAACAGATGTACCCCAGCCTTTATGACAGGACTCCAAAGCAGCTCTCTAAATACAAAATACTTGATAAATATTTCATAGTGATTTTTTATAAACTACAATTTATGTAAAAAATCGAATCCTTTTTTACCATAGTATTAACATTGCCGACACATTCAAAAGTATAATCCAATCCACCATCAGTTAATTCTATCAGAACTTCTTGAATTGGTTTGTCATAGTCCTTGGGATTAATGAATTCATTGCATCCAAATGTTTTTGCTATAATAAGTGTTAAAAAGTTGTATTCATTCTTTAACAAAGACTATGAATAAATAGTTCCCTTTATCTTACCAAGTTCAAATTTGCCTGGATTCACATCTACTCCAATAATACGTTTTGCACCAGCCTTCTTACAACCAAGTGCAACTGCCAAACCGACTGCACCCAAACCCCAAATAGCACATGTGCTTTCAGGTTCTACTTTAGCTGTGTTCAAGGCAGCACCGTATCCAGTAGGTATTCCACAACCCAGCAAACAAATCTTTTCAAGTGGTGCACTAGGATCAACCTGAAACAATGTTTTAAAAATATAATAAAAAATGTTTCAAGTCACAACATATAAAGAGAAAATACCTTAGCCAGAGAAATATCAGCCACTATAGTATATTCAGCAAAAGTAGAGCAACCCATGAAATGAGCAATAGTCTGACCCTTGCAAATAAACCTGGAAGTACCATCAGGCATTAAACCTTTCCCTTGGGTTACCCGTATCTTGCTACATAAATTTGTCTTTGGAGAGTTACAAAATTTGCAATCCTTGCATTGTGGAATGTATAATGGAACTACATGATCACCTATAAATTAATATGAGAAACTTTATAGCTGATAACCATATAATTAATCCAAACATAGGATATAATTCTAAATTAATTGTATAATCATACCTGGCTGGAATTCTGTAACACCTTCACCAACACTCTCAACAATACCACTGCCTTCATGACCAAGAATACATGGAAAAATTCCTTCTGGGTCTAATCCGTCTAGAGTATAAGCATCTGTATGACACAAAGCTACAGCAACAACTTTGATTCTAACTTCATGGGCCTTTGGAGGAGCTACCTCAACTTCTTCAATTGAAAGAGGCTCCTTTGCTTTCCATGCTACTGCAGCTTTACATTTAATTACCTAACATATGCAAAGAAATTTTAATTAGAACTTATACCAATAAAAACAAAAGAATTTAATTAGTATAATTAGAATTTTCTTCGGTAAACATCAGGATAAATACCTTTCCAGCAGTATCCGACATAATTAAATAATAACAATTACTATTAAGTAAAGATATAAGAAGCTGCGAGAGATCGACGAAGCAGAATAAATGGTACTACGATAAGTATTAATCTGTCTCGACGCCGGTTGCTATTGCGATATACCAAATGAAAATGATAACCAAGGTCATGATTTGCACGCGGTGCTAATCTGATACTACTGACATCTAGTGTTTATGAAGTTTTATCTTACGAAACAGATAAAATTGTATAGAAAACATTCATAAATGAACGCAATTCAGAATTCATTACTTCATCAATGAAATGGGAGAATAAAAATAACATTTACTGTTAAACTATTATCACTTTCATGTCAATCGCTACATTACCAACGGAATTTTGGTCTCGATCATAGCGCCTATTACGGTTGGCAGTGAAACTTGAAATAAATTTATAGGTAATACAGTGTTTTCTAACGATTGAATTAATTTCATTTATTAAGTTTATAAATTTTTTCAAAATGTCTAGAATGTATAATACAATTGTATACTTTTGTCAACTATAAAATGTCCTTAATTAATATGTGCAGAATTAAATACTCTAATGTGAGAGATCAGTTAAGAAATATTTTAACACATGACTGCATTCTTCTATGAATAAATTATTATATTCATCAAACTATTCGTGTAATCATTAATTATTTATCTATAAACTTTATTAGATAATTTTAATACGGGTAATGTTTTTGCAAGAGTAATAAAATGTGCAATCATATAACCAAGCAAAGCTCCTATTACACAAGGGATTGGCCAAGCTTGCCATGGACGGTCCCAATCTAATGGAATTACAATAGCACCTAACCAAGTGCCCAAAAGAGTTGCTTGAATATTAGTCTTCACTGCATCCGCGAAAATATTACCCTTTTGAGATTGTGTTCCTGTTATAATTTCTAATGCACCATCAACCCCTAAATGCAGACTAGCAGGAACAAATGTAAGAGTGGTCAATGTAACTGTGAGCATGGTAGTTTCTTCATGGTGCATAAATACAGGTGCACCGAACAATATAATTATAATATAATATGTAACAGACAAAAGAAAAGCGACCAATAGGAATTTAAAGATCTCTCTAATGTATCTTGACAAAGATCTTCTAGCTTTCGAGGATGTTCTTAAATCAGTTTTCCCTATGATAGCTGATTCAGAATGAAACATGGGGAAAAAAAGCTTAATGACTTCTGCAAAGAGAAGTATCAATAATACTGGAATAAACTTGTACTTCCCTACATTGTACAAGTTGTCATTTAATTTGAGTAATATCAGAATGCCAGGAAAATAAATGCAAGTGAAGGAACAATACGACAAGAGCAACCTCTGGCCAAATTTGTTTCCAACGTTCATGTTTGCTCCTCTTGTAAACTGTAATGAAACTTTTAATGTAAGTAAATATTAAATGGAATCTCACCTATAAATTTAATCAGTCCTTACTTGATGTATTGTAAAATAGAATGATTCTTATTGCCTTAATACTTGGTATATTGTTATATTTATACAATATATCATTGTGTTTTGTTACACTATCTTAACCAACAACAACAGCCAACGAAAATAGAATACATATTATTCTTTAATAAAGTGTCACAGTTAAGCCGCATGAAGGAATTTTATTATATAAAAAATATATATCGTGGTTAGGAATTCGCGTTACCAATAGCCATCAAAAAATCAGCTGTTATAGAACACGTTGTCACAAGATAATCTTCCATGTTAGTGACCCCAAATTTGAAGATCTTAAGCTACTATTTATAGACAGCTTTAACAATTCTTTGCAACAATATCAACATTAAATTAAACTTTAAAATGAAATGATTATTATTTCCCCTTGTTTTTATTTGTTTACTTCAAATTACGTTCCTAATTTAACTGTCGATAATGCAATCATCTACAGCTACGTTCACGTTACTTACAGATGCATGTTCACTAGAAATTAGTTTAAAAGAAGGCCGGAGTTTCACTTCTGTTAAGATTTACTGTGGTGTTGTCGGCAAAGAATTAAACGAATAAAATTTATGTGTGATCACAGAACTTCTTGTTTCCCGTTGCTTTCTTTCTAATTATCATGGGGAAGAGCAAACAAGCACAAAGAACAAAAAATAATGCAAGGGTAAGCACAGCTTTATATCAGTAATCAAAGATAATATAAGCAAGCAACTCAACTTTGTTATCATGAACGTTAACCTTATTATATCTAATAAATAATTAAATTCTAGAAGATAATCTAAAAATACAGTTTAATAATGAAACTATTTATGTTGTATATAAATAAATGTAACCTATACCACTTGACATATGATGAATCAAGAGCCATTACATTTTTAATTAAAATATAAGTTATTGATAACATGTGTCTTTCTGTTTCTAGCCATCAAATAGCAGTAGAAGTGCAGAATTACTGGGCACTGCTACACCCAAATTTGTTGGTTTTTCAGCTGTAAACGATGGTGGTTACATACCTGTTTTACCAGGTTTATCACTCTGTAGTGTTAATGAAGTTGAGATGAATAGTGTTGATAATAATTTTCAAATAGTTTTAAAGAAAATGAACAAAAAAGATGCGACAACAAAGTGCAAGGTACTATCACAACAATCAAGCAGTTATCCTAATTGAAATGCCTTATATGATTAACATTATGTTTGACAAATTACACTATATTAGGCTCTGCAAGAATTTGCAGTCCTATGCAGGGATTCAGAATTATCAGCTGTCGAAGGAATGTTACCATTTTGGCCCAGATTATATTGTGTCTTAGCTATAGACATTGAACACAGAGTAAGAGAAGGTGCACAGTTAGCACATGCAGCAGTAGTGAAGCGCGTAGGCAAGGGTATAGCTATGTATTTAAAACAGTTGGCAGGAGCTTGGTTTACATCCCAATATGATACATATGCTCCTGCTGCTTCAGCTGCTACTAATTCATTCAGTGTAATATATTATCATTCTTTAATTCGAGAATATTTGAAACGAATGAAAATGATGTAAACTTTTCTAATATGAACTCTCTTATGTATACAGGGAACATTTCCACCAAAAAAAATTGTTGATGCCATTGTGCATTGTCAACATGAAATTTTATCGTATATTTGTGATAACATTACTGTCCAAACTGCACAATCTTTGTCCCAACAAAAGTATGTATCATATTTACTAAAAATATAAATCAGTGGTTAAAAGAATATTAAATCTACGTAATACATAATTCTATTAGGAGTATTGCAGCAGAAGAAATGGAAGCAAAATATCAGAGGGTTCTAATAGCCAGTCTACAAGGTTACAGTTCTTATTTAAAAAAGGTTCCTTCAGAAGAAATTGAAAAAACGACGGATATTCATTATAAAATCATAAGGAACAGCAAATTTTGGAAGTTAGTGAAATATGATGCTCTTGCTGTGAAAACTGCATTTTTTAATGTGTTAACATCAATGATCGAAAATGCTACCATACTCTTACAAGAAGAAAAAAAGAGGACTGTAACAACCATTATGAATAGTTTGGATGAAACAGAGCCTGCACTTGTGTCCGCTGTTTGGGAATCTATGCTAGTAACTATAAATAAAATAGAGGTAGATAATTATTGACTATGAACTATATAATATTCTAAATCTACAGTATGTTCGATCATTTAAGTAATTTATTTTGTAGGATTGGTACACTGTAGTGAGTATAGAGAAACTAGTATTACCAAAATTGTGGCGGGTTCTACGAAGTGGAGGACAGTGCTCTGCAACTATTGTGTACCCAAATTTGTTACCGTTTATTAGCCAATTCCCGAAGTTAAATATCAATATTCATAACTTGTATATAAACTTCTTCAACAATATGCGACAGGGGTATTTATTCAATTCAAGCAATACCTTATCAAATAATACAGTGAATCGTATTTTAAAATATGTTAATCTGTTCTTTAGATTTTCTGTGAAAAGTGTACAAACGAATCGATCCGAAATGTTTGCCGTAACAACATCGTTCATCGAATGCTTACGGTATTCTGTTCTATTGAATGCCAAAAATCGGGATTTATGTACAGCGCTTCTCAAAGAACAAGTACTTATTTCACAACATACATATGTATAAATGTTTGAATGGATTCGCAAAACTGATTGATTCATTGTTTCAGCTGATACCAGTAATCGAAACATGTTTAAAAGAGAATGCTCCAATGAAACAAATCCTATTCTGTGAAATTTCACATCTGCTGCGATATTGGAGCAAAAATAGACATAATGAAGATTTCGAATCGTATACTCATTTAATGGAACAATTTTGGATTGAACTGAATTCGCTGTTCCATTTCTTAATAGACACGTTTCAAAGTTCTGAGACATTTAATATTGCAGATACAAATAATTCTCAAATTGAATTCTTAATTACATTGAAATTAGCGCCTACGCATAGCCGTAAAAATTTGAAAGTGAAGTTTTCTGCACCAGAAGAGGATATAATAAATATCGAATCCCGAAAATCAGTGACAGAAGTTGATACTGATACAGAATTTTTGGTAGAACTGAATAATTTAGTTATTACTCTGTGTATAAAATATTTTGATAAAATTACAGAACAACGTACTCAGAAATATGTCACATATTTAAATAAACTTATCACGTGTTTTGAAAGTGAGAAGCTATTCACAAGTTTGTCAGAGTCTCTGAAAACTCAAATAAATTTCTTAGCTTTCTATGATCAAGTTTTGAGGCAGTGGTTGCTAGAACAATCAATAGAAGCTGCGCATATAGTAGAATTAATATTTAATTTTATCTCATATATGAATGACTGTGAAAAGGATAAAGTTTTAAAGTCACTTACTGAGGTAAGAGATTTCATATTTCCTATAAAATTTATGTATATTATAATTTCTATCCCCTTTCAGTTTGAAGATATTGTAACAGTAAGAAGTGTGGTACACTGTGCTTTATCCAAAAAACATAGGAATGATCCAGTAATAAGAAAATGGTGTTCACAGTCTAAAATGACTAGCTTATTGATAGATGTAGCAAAGGAAATAGCTGCAGGAAATTACTCTGATCTTGAAAAAAATCAAGACCTTATTTTGTTGGCTTTTGAGTCTTTTGACGATGGCAGTAAGTCTTCTAATATTTAATTACTTCTTTTAAATATTGTATGTGTCTTTTAATATATGATATTTAATTGTTCTCGAATATTTAGATTTGTTGGTCAAAGAAGAGGGTGTTAATGAAATTGTGTCTATCATCTGTAGTTCAATTCATAAGATAGACGAAACTTACTTGTTAAACTTTGCACAATTAATTTCTTGCATTGTTCCATTGGCATGGACCCACAAACAATCAACGTTGGGGGCAATGCAAGTATTAGAAACACTTTTTGAGTTGTGTTCTCACGACTATTTTAGTAACAATTTAACATTCATTGATACAATGAAAACTGTATGGAAAAATGGTCTTGTGGAAGCCATTCAGAGACTGTCTAAACTGGAATTTATTGAGCTAACTAGAAAATTTGCAACAATCATGTGGAAGAAGATATATAACACGTAAGATTATTTTTCTTACATGAAATATTTTTACGTTTCGGTTTGTAGTAAATACAATGTTTTGCAGAAATGAGGAACAAACCAAAGAAATATTGATGGATATTGCGTCTGATTTTCTTGAAATTATTTATAATAACAAAAATCACGAGGAAGAAGATTATGTAAAAGAGACTATTTTAACATTCTTAACAAGCTCTGACATACGAAGGTGGTTGGTCGAAGTAGCAGGAATTGTTCTTTATGGAGAAGTGATGACCGGAAGATTTATGCTGGAATCAGTCCTCGATCGAAGTGTACAGATTTTCCAAGAACGTATACCTGACGAATTAACTAATAATACAATAATAGATAATACGGAGAATTGTTTGAAATGGGCATTGTTTAATGCAAACTTATTGAAGAATATATGCTTGATCAAAGAGATAGGATTGATACAGAATATTAATTTACCAGGAATCACGAATCTAATAGCAGATGTTATATACTCGATTGTTTTAGGACAAATATATATAAAACATTATAAATCTGTATGTATAATGATATTCTTTTATAAATATAATAATGCTATGATAAGTAATACTCTTTCAATGAACTAATTGCAGACAAAATGTTATACTACCGTTAACAAAGTGTTGACTACAGTTGAAACTAGCTTTGAACAGTTGAAAGCATATGTTAATGACGATACTAATGACGAAGTTCTGAATTATATTGTTGCGTAAGTAATTTGTTGTCTTTAATAATGACTTTGATTATTCAGTGAGACATTATTTATTTTAAATATGTGTGCAGGAATTATGAACAATATGGCAGCATGTTATCTTATCTACTATACTTCTGTTGCACACAATTAAGTTGGGGTAAAAAATCTGAAAGAGTGTTTGAAACTCATACAAATAGTATAATATATGAAAATTTTGAAACGAGTCTCCAGAAGTTTCAGGTAGCACAATACAAATATTTATTATTTATATCTTCGAAAAAATAAATTTTATGTAATTCACAATATTGTATTTTAGATTCTATCCAAATTTCAAAACACGGAGGACTCTTCAGTGGCAAAAGATGATGACATATATAAGTTAATAGTAGAAAAAAGAATGCTTTATAATAAAGAAGATAATTTAAGCTACATGAACATTCTAGAAAAGATAATATCTTACGAACAAAATAATTCTACATCACTGCTTCTGGATTGGTACTTATATTGTCTATAATTGATTAAATTTCTTATGACTTGTTAAATTAAGTAGGACGAAAATAATATTGTGTTTCTATGGTTTTCCTTTTTCAGCGATATTTCTGAAACCTCGTGGGAAAAGTTAGCCCTTCCATTGGAAGTTATTTCATTGTTATCGGAACTTGTAACGAATATGTCGTCCGAATTAACCAATGAACACTGGAATTTTATCTTAATATCATTAGTCATGTGGCAATTATCTGTTATCAAATCGAAACAACATATTGAAGATATTAAGGTTCCAATATTATAATTCCTACTATCAAAAGGTTTCTTAATATTTACAGCCTGTTTTTTACACTTCCAGGTATCAGCGCTGACAGTTTCGACTTGTCAGCTTTATTATGCTATCCAAAATATAGTTAATACGGAAGAACAAAAAGCAAATTTACCCCCAACATTATTGGATGAGTGGAACAATATATTTGCTGGCGATATTCAGAACGGGATCGCTCGAATTTGGATGTTTTATGCAGGTACTTCTAACAGATGAAAATAAGAAATTTTAGGAACTTATAATTGCGAGATTGTATGTTTACAGATTGGTATAATGAAAGAACATCAAGCGTGAAACCTATTGTGGTGTTAGATCACATAGGTAAAGCAGTAAAAGTGTTAAATGGGGATGTACTATTCAGAAATCAATTAAATATATCACCCACGGTTGTTATTAACCTAAATGATACTGTTCAATTATCATTGAAGCTACTTCAGTCCCCTCTAACCAGTATACAATTGGGCGCATATCATTTATTAAAACAAACTGTACCTGACCTTGTGATACGAGACAGAGTTACTGTTGAGATTGAAAACTTCGACGTGAATAATTTGAATATTAAAAAGATGGAAGACATACTTCAGAATACACAGAACATTGTGAACACGATTTTAATGGATTTCAAGTGAGTATACACCCCCCTTATGTTTTTGAGTACACTTAAGATGTCCAGGTGTTCTAAATCTTGAGATCTATTTATAACATATTTCCAGATTATGTGATACAGTCAGTTGTACTATACAACCATACACAGACTCTTACACGTACACTGTAGGGTATTTACTGTTGTGGGCCATCATATTGGATATGTGTGCAAATGCTCATGGGGATTTACTTTATCAATACGCGGAAGTGCTTAAGTAAATATCTTTTTAAACTTCCTTGATATTATATGTAAACTTCATTTTATCCATTCTAAAATATTTTATGAATTCACGTGTGTTTTGTTTTCAGAGATAATTTCTTCCCCAGTTTGTTAAACAATATCTTCAGGCTAATGCCAGTAGAAGTTCTTCAGGACAATAAGAACAAAAGTGCAAAATTAACGGAGATCTTTTCGACGGAGCCGTCTCTTGAATTCGGAGGTATAATATATAAATCACTGTTCTCCCAGTAATAAATACTGATCATTACAATGTTTTGTAGAAAGCTGGACAGAATGGAGACTAGATCACATAGTCTGCTGGTTGTATAGGAACAGTTTAAGGCATTTACCGGTATTGGTGAGACAATGGTGGAGCGCATCCGACAGCAGAGTCAGTGCAGCTGTAGACAAGATCACAACTCATTATGTTACCCCTATGCTTTGTCAAGAGCTTCTCAACAACAAATTACAAAATATGGAAAATATGCAAGTGAAAGTCCATCCAACGTTCCGCGAAGTGATAGCACTGTATCAAATGAGTGACACCAAATTAGAGCTTAATATCACATTGCCACCAAATCATCCCCTGGGACCAGTTACAGTAGAACCTGGCCAACATGCTGGGGGAACTGCAAACTGGAGGAACTGTCATATGCAGTTGGCTATATTCCTTACACATCAGGTGAAGTTTCATCTGTTTGTCAACATTTCTAATCTACCTTGAACAAAGATTTAGCAATATCTATATGTTTTTTCATAGAACGGATCTGTTTGGGATGGTCTCGCGTTATGGAAGAAAAACTTGGACAAGAAATTCGCAGGGGTCGAAGAGTGTTACATATGTTTCAGTATATTCCATTCAAGTTCTTACCAAATACCAAAATTATCTTGTCATACATGTCGAAAGAAGTTTCATACGGCTTGTTTGGTATGTGTCTATTTTTTAATGTCAGTAATCTTATATTAGAATTATTCGTAAAATTTCAATGTTTTTTTTGCAGTATAAGTGGTTCAGTACAAGTCAGAAGGCGACGTGTCCAATATGCAGGAATGTATTTTAAGTAACTTGTATTTATTTATGAATAAACTTTGTACCTCTATTTAAGTCATTAGGCTCATACCTGTAAATAAGAAAACTAAGGACAGATACTCTCTATAGGCAAATTTTTCATTGTGTATATTATATAAATATATAATAATTGTGAATTTAAAACTCGTTCAATCCATTTTACAACACAATTTGATAGATTTAATAATATTTAAGACTGACTCACGGGCTTTTAGCTGATTCAAATTTCCTAAAATAAAAAATACTTTAAAATGATATCACTAACAAATGCCAACTTTCTGGAAGATCACACTGCCGTGTGTTTTAAGTAAGAAGGTAAACATTACACAGAATACACGATAAGATTAGAACAGCTTTTAACCTGGAGTTGGGACAAGATAAGCATCATTCCTGTTTGCAAATCAGACAGAACAGGTCACAAAATGTCAGGTAAGCGTTAAAATCCGTAATTTCTCTAACAAAAGAAATTTATTTAAATTTTGATATTAATATTCAAAACAATCTCTAGATATTGATAAGTTGCAATTAATAGTTCGAATAACAAATCTACGCCTGATGTTTCATATACTTATCTATTAGAAAGTCTTCATTTAACTCTGATTATCATTATTAGCACCGCTTCTGATTCACTAATTACCGACGTTAAATTATTCCCCAAAAATTAACAAAATCGAACGAACGGTACATAATCTAAATTTAAAATTCCCAATAACTCGTTGAATCGACTGATAAACAGTATCTTGTATCAGATACTTTTCACGATATATCAGATAACTAACGAATATTCCAAATATAGCAATGAATAACGATCCCTATCATCCGATAACTCGTGCATATATCCTTGTAGCTCCTATAACATTAGAATGAAAAATATTTACATCCCTTTAATTAAACGATGAACTTTTTGAAAGGCTACAAGTGGGTACCCAGAAGCGCGGCGCAAAGTTTGCCATCGAACGCGGTGGTCGGAGGCCGGGACAGCGACGGATGCACGATCTACGTCGGCAGGGCGTTCCACGAAGGCGACATGCTTCCGGCGAAAGTGATCCCCGAGAAGAATGTCGGTTACGTGTGCCACAACGGAGAGGAACACGCGAAATACGACTACGAGGTGAGCCACCAGCCATTGAAATCCCCTAAACTCATCGGAGCGAAGCTACAAGCAATGTCCCTGCGTAAATCTCCATAGATCGTGATCGACGAACCGCGTATTTCACGCGATCGTAAGCACAACAAATGCGATAGAGTAAAAAAAACTTAAACGAGCCCGGTTAGGCGGTTTTTCCTCTTGCCCGAGAACGATCTACGCGCAGATAATGAATTCGCTAACGTATCGATACGCGAAAAGTCGCGGTGTTTTCCGCGGCTCGAATAACAGCGAAGAAAAACCAGATGGGATACAAAGGAATCGCGATGCAAAATAATCGCGCGCGATTATTTCGAATGCCACCGAGAGAGAGATTGTCATCGCGATGATTGCGTTGCACGGGCCTGGTACTAAGGTCCTTCCGGTTGCAATTTAATCTCCGATATCCACGCTATCTCTTCTCGTTCCCGAAGCCGGCGTGGAAGGGAAACCGATTAAGTTCAAGGCGGACCTGCGGAGAAGCTGACCGCTGCCGGGCCGTTGATTTTTCGCAAATAATAAATCCTTTCTATAATGAACTTAATTTCCTAGTGTAACTAAATAGCCGGCGGACGGCGCGTACACACCAGCACGGACGGGGGATTTCGTGTCAAGGCGACCGCCGGTTTCCATCGCGAAATAGGAAGAACGGCCTTAATAACGGCTGCATCGGCAGCTCGTCTTGGAAACGAAGAATAAGACGCCGATCCGTTAACCGTTCGAATGTCACGGATCGTTGCGAGAACCCGGTCGAAAAGCGGCGAGCGGCGCGATCGCGCTTCGTTTCGGTTCAGAAACCGAATGACGCTTTTCTGTTTTACATAGGAAAATTGTAAGTAGCGCGGTCGTCACGGTTTTCCATTTCCAAGCGTGATAACAGAAATAAAAGTGAATAATTAGGACAAGGAATAGATAAACTCGAGGCGATTCTACGAGCCGATAGGCTGGCACTTTTGAACAGTGTAACGGAGAAGCGCGATCGCGCTTGCCATTCGAACGGTCAAGGAAGAAACGATGCGATCCAGAATCGTCTGGATCGGCCCGCGCGATCGCCGAGTGCCGCCGATTTCAATTTCTGGCTTAATGGTTTGTCAGTCGGCTTCTCGGAACGTTATCTGGCATCGTGCCTAGGATGTAGATCGTTCTACTGATTCATCGATCGGGTTATCCGGTCGGCGATCAGAAATTCTGGTAGATACGCGTAATCTAAAGACTGAGCAAACACTCGACCGTGTTTTCTGTGTCGTCCTCTATGCCCGTCGAGCGGCGATTAAGCGAGAAGTCGGCGCATTTGAAACTATAAAGGAAATATTGTTTGTGGCCTGTTGAAGGTTCGCGACCCTTAGCTAGGGGAATCGGAATTTGATTCGCGACATAAGGATTTTTTGAATAGGAAGAGAACAATGTTCGATTTCTCGCTTAGTTTCTATCTGATTCCGACATCTATGAAGTGGCTGATCGGCTAACGATATTTCATAAAGCCACTATTTCTGTCGATTACGGTGACGATTACGATCACGGAGACGAGGAAATGTAACGGATATTTCAGGCGGCAACCGTCGATAAAGCTGCGCATTAGCATAACGATCCGGTGTTCGTTTATATTATATTATTAACGCTAGAATAATTCTTCAAGCACGCATCGGTGTGTTTATCCTGATCTACCGCGTGGCGCGCGAGCCACGTTTAATCTTGATCAGTTGCTGGCTTCCAGAAGCATAAATTGTGTAGCTAATTGGATTCTTGGGATTTCTGATAGCTGCATTGTAACAGTTCCTGCAGTGACTCGCAAATTCATTCCCGAACGCTATTGTGACGGTAATTGACTGTTAACGCTGCTGTATCATCCACCCGCCTTATTTATCGCGCCATCGTATTTTTTAATCGTTGTTAGCCGTTCGTGGAATCCTGCTAGATTATCAGCATCGAAATTAGTAGCTACATTGAATAAACTTCGAGAGAATAAAATGAAAATCTTACGCGCACGCGTTGCGGAGAGTAGCGGTCGTCATAGGGCTTCGGAGATCCCGAGCGTAATGGCCGACGCAATATGGCCGACCATCGGCCACGCGTTCGGCGCGCTGCTCCGTTTAACTGTGAAATATAAACGCGTGGATTCGCTCGTTCGGTTTTTAACGAATGAAAATGAATATTTCTGCTTCAGGTGTTGTGCCTTGGGGAATTCGCGTGGGAGTTCTGCAGCAACGGCACCGTTCCGAGCGGCGCGGTGGTCGCAGGGCAGACTACCGATGGAGAACCTCTGTATGTCGGCCGTGTTCTCCATAATGGATCCCAAACAGTTGGCAAGGTCGGGTTTCTTCGTTCTTCGTGTCGCATACAACTACTCCCAAGTTTCGTTGGTGTACACTTTTAACCCCTGCGCGCTGTTCCTCTGGATTTCGCTTGAAATTGAACTCTATCCTTTGGAATCACCGATGATTCACGTAGTCTTGGTCAAAAGTCATGCGGTATGGGCTTCTCAATTGAATTTCGACTTCCGTGTAACGATAGAAACTCGAAGATTTACGTGTAACAGCTATTCGAACAGCACGCAAGGGGTCAAGTGATAATTAACCAACGAAATTTCTAATTTTCTTGAAAATTATACGTTAAGCGTGTTACGGTGGAAATGATTGCTCATCGAGTTATGTACTTGCAGGTCCAACAGAGTCACGGATGCCTCTACATCCCCTTCGACGGAGAAGAACTGTCCTTCAAAGACTACGAAGTCCTTGTGCTCAACTAGCTCATAGAAAACTAAACTCGACACGTTTCCTGTTGGCACGCGGAGGCAAACACGCGATCTATATGTTTTCACTAAATTTGTACCCTTGAGACTCGTCTTAATAATTCGTATAGTTTTTCCTTCTGGAAATTACAAGTTTCTATGAAAAAACCTACTCTTGAATTCATTCGATTCCCCTGAACATTGCAGATAGCATACGTGTTTGTAGTTTCCTTTGTACTCGTCTACTTTCGCGTAGTACCACTAATCGCCGATCTCTTTTTAGCATCATTTCATTATTTTATAATTACGAAGTGAATTATAATCGAGTCAAGTTCACAGCGACGCCTAATTTTTCCCGCACCTCATTTCTCACGCAGCATATACTTTACTTTCGTTTTCCTTCCACGACTGCTGCATTCAATTCATTTTCCTTTCTTTTTCAACTTCTACTTCTCAGTCACCTTACTGTCCTCCATTTCTATCATTCTATTCCGTGCTTTCTTCCATATTCGTTCCTCCGTTCCGCCGCGAAGACGGTGTTATTATAATATAACAACAACGGTAACAAGGAAATCATAGAGGATCACTTGCAGTTCGTTCAGTGCGTTATACAATGCGTGGTTCGCGCGATTACAACGGTTCCAGCGGGGCATCGCGGGAAGAAAGAGCCGACCGGGTCGAGGATCACTGGCGTGCCATTCTGAAACCGGTGTGTTCCGAGTCGGAGCGACCGGATACACCGGGGAAACATCAAAACACCGGGTCCGCCGCGGGCTCCGGGTCGAATATTTTATAGCGACACTCGAATTGCGAGCATTACTCACTTGACGACGTCATACGATCAACTCGAGAGCCAGGGCCGTAACCGACGGCCACGAATTCGCTGGCAGCGATCGTCAAGACGTCTCCTAAAAAACTTGTCGATCGACGCGTTTCCGTTCCCCGATCGGTGCTCGGTTTAATCTCCTCGTCGAAGATATTCTTTCCGATCTCCGAAATGCGTCGTGGACAGTCGGGATCGGCGAGCGAATCGCTGCACGGCGAACGACGGGAAACGGTACCAGCGAACGAATTTCTTTCGGCCGGCTAGGTCTTCCATAGGGGATCTAGAAAAATCGTGGTGGCCACGGATCGCGGGACTAACGTACAGCCGCGGTGGGTAATTGCCAATTCGTCGCAATTGCCCGGCTAAGCAAACGTCATTACCGGACCAGAATGGTCCCGCGAGCAAATTGTCGGCCGACGTTGCCGGCATATACTTGAGACACAATCTTTGATTTGTCGTTGTGGGCAGCCCGCGCGCGTTTAGACGTCGACGGTGCCACACGGCCCTGCCTGAAATAGGCTCCCCGGCCGTAGAAGACAAGACGATGGCCGTTGTGATTATTTTATCAACAAATTGCCACATTTAACGCGGCACCTCCGCCAGCCTCTGGCCTACCAGCCCGACCGCTTCGACGGTGCACGATGTTTACACGGGCTTCGCGACGCTAAGAGGATCTCTCAGCGATCCGTCGCGTTGCTCGACAGCCGGAGACCCGATTCCCAACGAATTCGATGATCCTCGATCGAACGTTGCTTCTAGTATCTACGATCGATGGGAACCGACGCGTTCGCGTGCATCTCGACGCGACTGGCGATCCTCCGGCCACGTTTTTCTAAACGCTGTCACGTAACGCGACGGACTCGTTGCAGTTCAAGGCCCGCTCAAGTTTGTTCGACGCGCGGTTCGATGAGGTCACCAGTTTGCGGAACAATTTGCCCGACCTGACACTATCGGGAACCAGACGTTACATATAAATCGTTACGTATCTGCGTCTTCAAGGTAACGGCGAACGCGATCGTCCTTCGCCTCTGTTCCCCTTCCCCAAAACGGAAGGAAATCAATGTTTATGGTCGAATCGGTGAATCGGTGATGCGGAAGAATGGAAGAAACCGTTGCCGAGATGAACAAGTAATCTCTGCGATGTTAACGATCGAAAAAACGCGTTCCCTTAGGCGAGGATTAGATAACCACGATGATTACGATTTCTGCGAGGAGTTAGTTTAAGTGTACCATTTTTCTCAGCTACATGAAAGCCCGGATATCCCACCGTTATAGCTTCACCTGTAGTCTCTCGTCTAACAAGGTTGCTTCCTTGGAGCCCTGGGAGGTACCACAGGATTTACCATAGGACCCCAAAGGTGGATCTCGCCGGAGCGATCCCCGCATCCTCCGACGCGTCGCTCGTGCGTTAACCTTGACCCGAAAAGCCCCGGCGAACAGCGGAATCGGAAGTTGGCCGCGCGTGGTTGGGCATCGTGACGCGGTGCCATGTCGAGAGCCGCGATTCGGCGGCGGGCGAGGTTCCTACGAGCGAGCCCGAGCGGTCTAGGTGGATGTACCCTCGTCGGGTACCTAGCACGTGGAGAGAGGGTCCCGGCACGAAGATTAGAGGGGACGGGTCAGCAGGGGGAGAGATGGCGGAGGCAGGAGAGCTGGAGGTGGTCAGCGAGGAAGAGGAAGGGACAGAGGCGAGACACGCGTCTCGTAATGCACAATGGTGCATTAGCCAGGAGTAGACGGTCAGACGGTCTTTCCCGCGGACCGGCTGAAACCGATTCGATATCGGCCCCTCTTCGAACCTGGAAGAAAAGCAGACCGGCAATCAGCATCGCCTGCATCGTATTCCGCGACGAGCCCGAAGAAACGCAAGAACGAGGATCAACGAATCGGCGTACCTTAGAACCAGCCGATCTCTGACCGTCTCCGACTCCCAGAGGTCTTCTTCTCTGTCGGCAACGATCCGCATGAGTCCACCTTTGATGAGCCTCGAACAGAACCCTCGAAAACACTCACGAAACCTCGCATCGTCGAAGGGACTTCCCAAGCTTCTGATGCCCGAGTGACGACCGATCGGCCGCAGGATAAGAATCATCCCCCGAGACTCGAAGACAAGGCTTACCGTTCGATTAGAAGCATGGCCGACCCCGTCCCGAGCAACCAGGTAGCCACCGGTGCCGAGAAGAAGCGCGAGGACTCGATCACCGAGCAGGCAGTGGTGTGGAAGTCGATGACGATGAGGCAGAAATGGTCCTACTTCACCAACAGCATCACCGTCGAGCCGGTGATCGCTTGCTACGTGATCCCGTGCATGCTGGCGTCCCTGGCCACCCAGAACCTCAGCTTGGAGAAGGCTTGCAGGGTGAACTTAGCTTACTCCGACGAAGTCTGCACCGCGCTGGCGAACAGGAACACCACCGGATACGAGGCGGAAGAGACCGCCGTCCAGCAGCTGGTCGCCGGGATGCAGACCTGGAAAATGGCGCTTACCAGCGGTTTGCCCACCATCCTGATCCTGTTCATGGGAGCGTGGAGCGACCGCACGGGCCTCAGGAAGCCCTGCATGCTGCTGCCGATCGTCGGCGAGTTCCTCAGCAGCGTCAGCATGCTGCTCTGCACTTACTTCTTCTACGAGGTGCCGATGGAGGCTACCGGTGTGTTCGAGGCTCTCTGGCCGGCGCTGACCGGCGGATGGTTCACCATGTTCATGGGTGTTTTCAGTTACATCGCGGACATCACGACCGTCGAGTCCAGGACACTTAGAATCGGCGCCGCGAACGTATTCGTGTCGCTGGGCATACCGATCGGCATGGCGCTCTCCGGGATACTGTACATGAAACTCGGTTTCTATGGTGTGTTCAGCATATCCACCGTGTGTTACATGTTGAGCTTTATTTACGGGATGGTGGTGATCAAGGAGCCGGTCAAGACGCACCTGAAACAAGAGAAGAAGGATCAGAAGGGGATGTCCGTGTGGAAGTCGGTCACGCACTTCTTCGCGTTCAGGCACATCGAGGAGACGTTCAAAGTCGCGTTCAAGAAGGGCGCGAACAACCGGCAGAAAAGGGTGCTGGTGCTGATGGTGGTGGTCATGGTGGTCATCGGGCCAGTTTACGGTGAGCGATTCAACGTTAACAGGGAACCATTTGGTTCTAGTTTCTTTTTTTGTATGGATTGAAAAGGTGACGGTGGTTTCTTTGGAAATTACGAGAATCGATGGAGCGAACTAGAATGTTTTGATAAATGCACTTGCATCGTTTCTATAGGGGAATAATTGAGTCGATCGATGCGGTTGAGTGCAGAAAAGGGAAAATTAATGTTTTGGCTTCTGAAATGATTTCTTGACCTAGAAACAACGAAGGACCGAGTAAATCCTTGAATAACTAAAAAGAATGTTATTTATCGGTTCCTCGTTAATCAATGATTCGAAGCATTTCTGAAAGTTAATTGAAATTCGGCGACTGCTAGAGGAATATAGATCAGAGTTAAAACTAGCAACAGGTTGCTGTCTTGGCGAAACGCTCCCAATGTTAATCAGCTTTCTAACTGAATCATCGAATCCGAGGAATCGCCACGAGTGACATAATCCAAGCATGTCTCTTTCAATTATCATTTACAGGAAAATGATTTAGCTTGTTTCGAGCAATTACAGGCTCGCGATGTACGAAGGGTAAAATTAAAAAGTGAAACTGGTCTTTCGACGGTGAATTTGCAACGCAAATTCCACGTTGATAATTAAATATTTCGACGAAACAAAAAGCGTACGAGTATATTTAGCCATTATCGCGTGCGCGTGTTTGGATATGCATATTTTTCGTTCGTATCTGGTCAGTGTCACGTGTAAATTGCACCGGCAGGGAAAGGATCGACCTTTCCCCAAACACGCACAAAATCACGAGGAGTATGTTTACGTTCTACCACGTCCGTTATCGGCAGATTGCGAAGTTTCGTGCATTCACGAAGAAATCAAAAGCGTAAACTTGCACGGAGCACGCACGAGATCACGTGTAAAAAATTCAAAGAGAAACGCGTTGCATATTTGTTAGAAAAATCCGTTCGCTATCATGATTCCCTGTTTCTAATTATATCGCTGAAAAGTTGAATTTGCATAAATCGATTGAAATCGCGAAACGCGAACTTGATGGATTGCTTCAGATACGCGCTCCTTCACTTTCGTCCTTCGATCGCCGAGGAGTACAAACCATCGTTCGTTTAATTTCTGTTGTCAAAAGTGATTGATTATGGTTTATCGTTCCAACAAAAAGACACTCGACACAGTCTTCACCTTTCGCTCGTGTCGCCTAAACTTTCTCGAGACGCGATTTCCTTTTGCTAGACGATATTTCTAGTATGATCAAATAAACGCGTTAAAAATCACTTTCAGAATATAGAACTAATTTCATACTTGTTGCAATAATTTATAGCAAACCTTGTAACTTCGTTGAAATTCAGGGATGGTTTTCATCGTTCTGAAAACTGAAAACTGATCGGGTTTCAAAGAAATTTCGCTGCTGCTTGATTAGCACAGCTAATTCAACTGTACAGGAGTTTCGACGAGTGTTTTACGTTTATTTGGTAGTCAATGCATTAATGAGATGTTGCAACTACGAAGATCGCTGTTGGGGCGAGCGTCGAACGTGCCAGGGCTAACGTGCACGGCCGAACGAAAGTGGGAAGAGTTTCACGTAACTCTCGTTAATCGTGCTGCTTCTATTGCGGTAATCACGAGCATTTCACGAAGTAATTGCAGTAATTCGGCCGCGACGGAGAAGGGAAGGGAAAGTGATACAGGAAAACTGGCATGGCCGACGACTCCCGTATGAAAATGCACGTTAGCCGCTCGGGAAAAGCGCCGAGCGAACCGATCATCATCATCCATCATTTAAACCCCGCCAATTACACGTCTCAACTCGAAAACGAAACAACAGAAACGTCCGTGGCATCGATTTTTACATTACCATCATCAACTCCGATAAAAAGTCCTGGCAGAAAAGGTTTGTTATTTACGAGTGAAAGTAGAAACGCGAATGCTAACAGTATCTAACGCTCGAAGTGGTTTGTACGAATCATAAGAGTACATTTATTCGAGATTTCGAATGATTTTTATTTTCAGCATTAAGCGATAGATTAATTAACTTAACCGAGACCTTCTCTCGCGATTTCTAAAAGAATGACGGGACTTCCCAGTGGAACAATGAGATTAATCGATTTATTGCCCGATTTTAGTATTTGCATTTGCTCCCGCGGTGCGCGCACTGAAATTGAGCGATAAATCAATTAATTCAACTGCTCCGCTGGGCAGCACAATCATTTTTGTAATAATCCTGGAAAAAGCTGCGCCGGCCACTAATCCCGATGAATTTTTCCCTCGATACGGTTGTGTATCGTCGGCTGTCCCCATTCCCTCGAACGGGATGCAAATGCGAAACGACAATACGATGGCCGATTGCATCGTCAATTACGGATTATTAGCGCATCATGAATTCGTATTACGGCGGGGGATTCAAGGCAACCGTCCTCGTCGTAATTTAATTAGACCGATAATGCACGGCACATTATAATCTGTCATTACGTCTCCACTGTTTTTGTTACCCAACTCCGAAATAAAAGCTCCTCCGCGGTTCAACTTTAATTCCAGACCGACGGAATTTTCTTGTCAACGGCTCATTATAAAATCGGATGAACCAACTGTTTCAAAAGTTTCTTATAGAAATTATAACAATGCATTTATTGAAATTTCGATTAACTTACATTTCACTTTAAACGTCACCGAAACTATTTAACACTAGAAGTTGAGCATTTGATGCGATTAATATGTATTTCCTCTAAAAATTGTTCAATGCTTTTAAGACATAAGTGATTCATCTATTCACCTAATTCAGTAATTCATATTTAAAGCAAAGAGATCGAAACCAATCATTTTGACTGGTATCTTTCCAATAATTCTAAAAGAAGAATTTTTTCCCCTGCGATCCATTTATAATTAAAATCTAAAGAGATTCGCGCATTATCGATCAAAGTTTCGTCGCCAACGAGGAGTACCGATAGGAACGCGAGTACTTAAGTATTCCGAAGTAGAAGAAAACGAAGTTGTAAAACAAACATTTTGTTTATGCCGGTCGCATTGGCTGGCGCGCGGATCTCGTTGATAATTCGACGAAGTGAGCCAGTTAATCTATCAATACGGCGGCCACGCGAGATAGGCATGCTAATGGGAATCGCCGGAACACGCATTGTGTAATTGGACCGTGGAATTGCCGGACGCTAATTAAATCAAGCGTCGCCATTAATTCGATCAAGCTGAGGACTCCCTTTCGACGTTGGTTCGCGCGCTTCTTAATCAGCGAAAGTTCGTGCGCTCTTAATTACGATCGGAAACGGTCGCCGGTAATGCGGGCCAGCATCGAGAATGAACGCGCGACACTCGATACGCGTAACGCGAGCACGTTTCATGTTTAGACTGCGCCGCTTCACGTGATACTGGCTTTTTAAAAGTCAATTTACAAATCCACGTATCGAATGATCCTTTTCGACGTATGAAAATCTTGTGAAACCTTTTCGATCTGCTAAGTTTCTTCATTCGCTGGCCTCGCAACGCTTTATTGCGCCGAAAGGAAGTCTCGTTAGTTTTTTGTGAATCGACACATAGAAACTTGCACGTGCGTAAAAACAGTTTCTTCATTCAACGTTGCGAAAAGGAGTTAATGGTTTTATATGAGAATTAATTCTTTACGGATAAATGTCGCCATTTCGGCGAAATGAAACTTTGTATGAGATAGCAAGAAATCAACAGGTACTTTCCTTTCTCCCTATTGTTTTATCAATTGATTGAAGGTTTTGTATTTCGAAGAATCTTCGTCTGCGAAGGGTTAACTAGCCACGTGCGAGCCGTTTTATCGAGTCCCTGGTCTTGAATAAACGGAGAACGAAGCAGCGGGGTCGAATAAACTTAATGAGGCAGAGAATTACTGCCTCGTGCAATTTCTTAACATTTCTTTGCACTTTTTAATCGCTTTTCTCCCCGGGTAACGGTCGCACGGTTGTGAAAGTAAGCGAACGGTCTCACAATTTTTTACTCGATCCCAGATACGTGTTCTAATACTTTTTTTCATATCTGCGCTACGTTGCTCGTTGGAGAGCGAAACTAAATTTGAGCGTTTCCGCGGCGAGAATCGATCGTGGAATAATCCAAACGGTCGTGACGGCGGCGGTAGCCTCAAATTTATGACCGGTGGCCTATGTGCGAAGTCAACATACCTATTAGAACTATATTCTGTGCGTACGAATGCTAATACGGTCTGATGAGTTAAGTACCCTGATGTAATTTCAGATCTTTGACCGTTGGAAATAAGTCTAGTCTTAGCAGTTCGAAGGGTCCGCGCCGTGTCCGCATTGAAATCGCTGCTTGCGGCTGGACGTGTACCAATTCCATACGGAAAGATTCGAAAATGATTTTCATCCTTTCGAAAATTCATTTGAAATATCCACTTTCCAATCAAACAATTCGAAGTAGAAACCATTCTGCGAACAGTGCTCGTTAACCCCTTACGACTGATCTCCCAAGCACGACACAACTTCGCGACGAATAATTTCTTGCGAAACACTGAAAAATCCTGGACATCGTCCGTTGCTCCAAGATATAACCGGTGACAGGATAACAATGAATTTCGGTTGGAAAGAACTCGGTGATGTTCGCGCTTGCCGAATTCCGCTGGAAACCTTCGCGAGCCCGACACGTTGTCGCAAGGCAAGGGGTTAGATAAATAGAACACAAGTCTTCCGCGAGCGGTTCAGAGGCGTGGACGTCGGTTCAAACGAATTGAAAAGAAGCGAACGCGTGGGACGGATTCAATCTAGAAAATTCACGGTGTTTCCTCTCCAAGCAAACCGCGCGCGTGATCTAATCGTCCCGGACGTTTTTCGAGCGTCGCGCCGGTTGCTTGCTTACTCAGAACGAAACCTGTCGACGAATTATCGCATGGATCCGTGTTAAGGGCAGATTATTGCCAATTGAGTCAACTCGAAAATTAGGTTCTTCGTTTGAATTCTCTGAATCCGCGCCGCGCGGCACGGGGATTCTCGCTCGTTAAGGCGAGTGTGAGAACGCGCGGCGCCTGGAAACCGCGGGAAGAACGCGACGGCCGTTTCAATCCAAGGCAGCCTCTGCTACCTTGTATCATTCAGATCGAGGAGGATCCACTTTGCTCGCGTAACTTTACACCGACACGAGCTGCAACTTCGTTTTCGCGCTCGAACCGCGGAAAAGTTTCCGCCGCTGGTCGTTTAACTACCGCGAACGGCTCGCGACGGTGATTAAAAATGATTTATTTCCAGATCTTTTCGGTTGAGAGTCTTCCTCGAGCCTTAACGATATTGTTCTGGTAATTTTCGTTGGTCGGTTAACGAGGATTCTTATGGGATAAGGGCGTGAAGCGTTGCGTTCGGTGGTCGAACGCTAGCGGCCGCCATATTGGAAGTTCTGCGTTCCGATGATCTGATAATTGGAAGCGTAGAGAAATTCGTCTTCGGATATTTGAAAATTTCAATTATTAACATTCGAAATTGTTGAAGTTTCCACTGATCGATCGTCGCAAGTTTCTCGCTAACGAAACAATTCCAGAAGAGGAATCAACGACCGCCATCTTTGCGGGACGCTCTCGTTCGTCGAACACTCGTTTCTAATCGTTTCAAGAATATTTAGGACATTATTCCATCGACGTCGGTGGTCGTTTAAATTTGTTTTCCTTCGAGTTTTCAAGTTCTCGGTCGAACAATTCCCAGACGGAAACGCCGAAGGAATGCGCGAACGACGAAACAATGGGTGCACGGACTGTAATCAACGGCCGGTGTTTAAAGACGAGTTAATTGCGTACTAACAATCGGTCGATATGCAATTCTACGGCTGCAACATCAGCGAAGAAACTAAAAAACCCGGGAATTAAAGAAATAATTTATTCTTTCCGCGTATCGAGGAGCTTCTTGGGCCTTCCCGCGTCTGATCGGATCCGGCCGGCAGATAAAATCGACATCGCGGAAGCCCGGAAAATTGATTCCCGCGGCCGAAACGGTGGCAAAGAGAACAAGACAATGATGTGATAACGACCGAAACTCGACGGAAACGATTAAACGGAGAGACCCGTGATGAACGAACTTGTTGTGTAACGGCGAGGCGCATTCTTGCGTAATGCCGAGATAATAACGCCACGAAAATTACTCGGGGATAACTTGGTCACGCTGTTTCCCTCGCGATCCGCGGAATTTAATGCCGATCAAATTGTCTCCACGCGAGAGCAGCTCGATGATCCTCGTTGTTAGAACTACATGACGGAGGCACTCTTCTCCGAGTGACTGGAGAAATTAATTTAGCGACATGCAAACTCAATTGCGAATCGATCGAAGAGTCCATCGAGGTACTATTAGAATTCTTATATAAAAATTTCGAAATTCTATTCGACTGTTCGGTACAGTGTTCCGAAATCGTTGATTTTACCGCGCAAGGCAGTCCTAGCGTTACTTCCAATCCGCCATCTTTGATTACTGAAGCGCAGTTGAAAACACGCAGGGCGCTTAGCGGTGTTTATACGTAACCATACTTTTCAAATGATTCCGCTAATTACCGATCTCTGAAAATATGACGAAACAAGTCTTACACGAGCCTTTGCTTCCTTCGGCGACTAATTGTTGGGCATTATCCAAGGATCATTATGTCATCGAGTACAATTGCATCGATGAGATAACAGACAACGCCGATTAGGTTCTTTCTAAATCGAGATATCGGAATGCGACTGTCCGTGTGGTTCTCCCGGTGTGATTTTCAACTTGGTTTCCGAAAGCTGTCGCGTCGATGTCGTCCCGCGAAGGGCACAGCAACATTGCAGACGCAACGAACGCGAGTCGCAATTCTGAAAAACGTTTTGACCATGATCTTTCATGCTATGCAAGCGGAACCGTCCCACCCACATAGGCTCGGGGATTCTTCGTGTTTTGTGGAACGACGCGATCGCGTTGATTCCAACTTCCGATCTCTCCTCGGACGCGAACCGAAACGACGAGATTGAAATGGGAAACGAATTGCACGTGAAACCATGATGCTGGGGAACAATCTGCTTCTGCATCCGCGAAAGTCATCCTTTGCACTCGAGAGGTGACTCTCAGTAACCACTTTCAATATAGCAAAATTATAAAATCTTATGTATAATGTTAAGCTTTATACAATATATCGAACGTGAAATATTGAAATAAAATAGCATGATTCTTAATTTATGTATTTTCTCTCATTGCTTAGTTTCAAAGCTGTCTATGTTGCATTGAGAAATGTCGAACATTCCTAGTGCAAAACTTCCGAGCGCAAAGGGGTAAAACCACTTTCTCGGCAGTAATTACCAGTGTGAAACCCGATGCCCAAAACTGTCCAGTTAACAGCGACTCGAGTCTAATGAAATCTTAATTGCAGGTGAAATGGCGGTGATGTACCTTTACATGAGGTACAGGTATCACTGGAACGAGGTGAAGTTCAGCATGTTCACCACGTTCGCCATGGTGACGAATTTAATCGGTGAGTGAATATCCTCCTCAATATCCTCCGTTCATCCAAATTCATCAAAAATCAACAACAACAGATCTGAATCGATTATTTGCACGTCACCTCAGGCTCGTCGTTCAATAAACGAGCAAACGTTCGCGTAGACGGCGACAGTACGACAACCAAGACCAATAAAATAAAAATGAACGTTACGAGGGAACATTCTCGTATAATAACAACAAAGAATAAATCATCTGTAATGAGCGTATCGTTCAATCGATTATAATGCGCGTAATTGCAGCGATCTTATCGAGAGAAAGGAATGAACGAGCCTCCGACGACTGATGACATTTAATTCCGCGCCGACGATTATCAGTCGTTATTTGTTTATCGCGTCTTTCTTTTACACGGAACCGAGGGTATGTCCTCGCCGCGATTACATCGGACACGTGAGAGAATTAGACACGGAGGAACGACAACGGCTCGCACGTGAGGTTGCATCCGCCGTTTATCCGCCGCGGTGCAGCGAAACGCATTTCCGCGCGTCCGCGATGTTGCGCGGTTACTTTCTGCATTCTTGCCTCCCCTTTTATTATCGATTCGTTTCGGATTTTCTCGAGGACACCGGGAGTTCTCGCGATTGTACGTTCGAAGAATCTGCTTAGCTTTTTCATCGATTCAACCCTTTCCCTCGTGATCTATCAATGTTTTCTCGTCGATCAGTTTCAAGAAACATCGTCTATATATTTCATCGGAGAATATTCGATGTTTCTAATGAGAAACTTTCGAGCGCGAAGTGTTAATGTTGCCGAGAAATGCATTCGTTGGTCTATAAACATAATTCTTCCCGCAGGAACATCGATATCCGTCGGCGTGTTCAGCCACATCCTGAAGATCGACGACGCGATCGTCGGGATCATGAGCTCCATGAGCAAAATCCTCGCGGGCTTCGTCTACGCGTTCGCCACCACCGACTGGATGATTTATTTAGGTAACGCGCAAGCTCGTTTGTCATAACCGTTCGAGTTCCGCGAGTCTTTCTTTCGTTTCGTTGGAGAAGCGCCATCGCGCCGCTCGGGACTCGAACGGTTGAACAAACGAATCGCTCGAATGCATGAAACTTAAGCAAACGTTTCGATGGAAATTGCAGCTGCGATCGTGGAGATCGTGAACGGAACATCTTTCATCGCGATGCGATCGATCGTTTCGAAGCTGGTGTCCGCGGACGAACTCGGTGAGTGAATGGCAGTTTGATTTATCGCCTCGACATTGAGGAAGCGTTTTTTCCCCCTTTTTTCCCAAGCTTTTCCTCCGCGCAGAAACAAGGAAACGCGTAGCGTGTACCGTTACGCGGATACAGTCACCGACTGCTCGATTCGCGGGGCAATTAGCGGTGCATTTGAATGCGATTAGCACGATACTGTTGCAAATGTCAACGCGCGATCGATAAGCATCGGGAGGAGACACCTGCGACCGCGTGTGCAAACTGTTGACGCTTTAGCGGGCGCGTGCGAAACGAATTACGGTTTCAGAAGCTGCCCACCGGAAGTTACACGATACGGTTTTCGTGTCAATATGCTCCTTTACGCTATATGTAGCTGCTAATGTCCAACGGTGATTAATACAGAAATAATGGAGAAATTAATCGAAAAGCAACGTGCACGATACATTCGAGATAACTTTAATCAACTAATTGATTGATTAAAGAGGTTAACGAGAAATGAAGAGTAATCGCGTATTTGAAAAAGTTGGCTTTAACCTTCGATTCGATAACCCTTTGTACTCGAATTATAAAATTCGTTCTATCCTTGATGGTTGTATCATTCGTACTCGATACAGTTGATAATTATGAATATATGTTAATGAACTTTCAAGTGCCAAGGAGTAAGCGTGAAACTCATTAATCGCCGCATCTTCGTATGGAAAACTGTGTTCCGAATATACGTGGCTCTAAGATGATATAATATTCCAATTACTGGAATTACTAAGGGAATTATAGCGGCTCGTAAATGGCACAGCGACCTTCGCGGCAATCGCATTTTCCGTTTACCTTCATCTTCTCACGTTTCCGCGGAACCGTGTAAATAGAATAATTTTATTTGATCGTATCCTCGAGCCAATTTCCCGCCGACTTTTCTCCCGGTTACGAGAGCCAAGCCTAACGAGGTTTTCCTGTCCAGTTAAACAGCCGAACAGGCCATTTTCTTCTCGGCTCGTTTCCACCTTGATCTAACTTCCATTTGGCCGTAGCATTGAAAACAAAACAGGCAGAAGTAGAAACCGAAGATATGCAAATTCTGCGTTACGATTCCACTCACGACTGTGCTTCTCAATGCTACTCTGATTGTCCTTGATAATTCGTTAAGAGACAAGAATTCCATGTTAACCTACAGGTTCTCCATGGCACTATTTTCATACCATTTTCTTAACTTCAAGGCATTGTTTGACATTGTATTATTTTGAAAAGGCAAGAAGCTAAAGAATTGGAAACGTGTGCAACAGCGGGAAGAATGGTACTTCCGTTTTCACTTTCATGTCCCAGAAACATTAGAATCTTACTTTCTACGGATCTTTAGAGTTTTATGTCTTTAGTACTGTATGGTTGCTCGTTTGGTCTAAGAGTGCTCTAATCTTCCGCAATTTTCAGGCAAAGTGAACTCCTTGTTCGGCGTCTGCGAATCGCTGATGCCGCTCGTCTACGGGCCAATGTACAGTTCCATTTACAGTGCAACCATGAAAACGTTTCCGGGGACGTTCTTCATCGTCGGCGCCTGCATGACGATGCCTGCTGTCTTCGCTTTCTTGTGAGTTCCTCCACTTCCAGTTTCCTCGCGTTTCCGAGATACCGTTTTACCAGTTCACTCTTTTCCCTATGATTTACTTCTGAACTATTGAAAGGAGGATAAAATTCTAGGCATATCCTTCGCTCGACACTACAGTAATTGCTAACAAACGAACAATGTTCAAATACAAATCATCTTCAACTTCACATACTAAATTGCTTTTACTAACAGCTGGTTGTACACGGAGCACCGGAGGGATCGCCAGCAACTGGAGCAAGAGAAGAAAGCGGACGGCAAGGTGGACGCACAACAAGATGAAACCGAGGCGAAGCAAACAAAATGGCCGATCGCCAGCGAGAAGAAGTCGGACGGTCCCACGATGAACGGCGTGATCAACGCCGCATTCGAGACCGATCGTTAATCGCGTGACCGACATCGGAATATATTAAAATCGGAATCGATCGGTGAGGAGCAGGAAAACGAGGAAACGAAGAGGAGATAGAATAAACGAGAAAGAGGAGGGAAGAGGGAGGGAGAAAGAAGGAAAAGTTCAGGTCAATGAGACACGCAACAGTAAAGAAATCCTGTCGAGGCAACTTACGGCAAACCGCATCGGACACTATTATGCTCGTCAAGATTACGCGAAACAGGTTTAACGTACTATATTTCCCCGGTTTTCGAGTTGTGTGCTGACGAATCCTCTTTTTGTTTTGTCTGTTTGTCCTCCGTTTTTCCTAACGGAAGCATAGCAACCACTAGATGACGACAATGCGACGCGATCGCGATGCTTCGTTCAGAATAGAGAAGGAACGATCGGGAAAAGGTCTCCTTTTATCTGATGCGGTGTTCGTTAACCGTTTGTCCTACCGGTTTCTTGCTCGTTCGTTACGATTGTTTGATCACTGATAGTTTACCGATAGGAAGAAGTATTTTTAACAAATTTAACATCTGTTTCTTGTTTTTTTAACAAGAATTCAGCAGATTTTCAGGAATTGATTCTAATCGAAGCTTGATAAAATGAAATTTTTGTGATTATAGAACAGGTGAGACACGGGGTTAACGAGGAGCCGCATTAACGTTCTTAATAAACGAAGTCGCGCGATTATTCCGAAAACTCAAATAAAGGATAACTGCAGCTCAAGGATAACAAAGATTCGAAGCACTGAAAAACAGAACGAAGGCGATCGATCGCCGTGAAATAAGCTACAGTTTTTTTTCTTTTTGTAAACGAAAAAGAGAAGAGAACGCGACAACCCGATGAAGCTATCCTTTATTTCCAGTTCTAGTACAAGCAGTCTCCGGTACTTAAGTGAATTGTGACAATAGATAAAACGTGACAGACGTACAATCTGTTCGAGCGTATCAGTATTACAAACGCATACATCTCCCCGCTTAGCTGCTAATCAAGCCGAATTCACGGATAAACGAGTTTCATTTTGCGCTCGGTGTCCTTAACACTTTGGCCGCCATCTTTGCCATCGAGACAAAAGGGTATACATATATTCACGGCTAATAAGTAGCGAACGAAATAAATGAATTTTGACCGGGTGATCCAAGGAGTTGAAATTGTAGCTAATCCGACTCTAGCAAGTATTCCAATTTTATGGAATTATTTGTAACGAACCAGCTCGGCGGTCAACGTGCTAAAGGGGCGCGCACTCGTGAATAAAGAGATGGAGGGATTTTGTACAGTTACGAGAGGCGTGTGCATCACGAGGAAGTCTCGCACGCGAACCAAATCGATCCGTTGTACATTTTTATTGAATAGTATTTATATGAATGAGCCGCATCATTTCCGTACGTGTATTACAGCTTCTTGTGATATAGTACAATAGTTTTGTATTTAGGAGGTAAACATAGTGTTACGGAAATAAAAAGTTTTCATTGACCATTAACACCACATTGATCATTACTGCTGAACACACTCCAGCTCTTCAATAAGAAATTAAAGTAATCAATCTTCAATTAACACTGGAACCACCAAACAAAATTACCTATTCCTGGTTTTTACCCGTTCGGTCATTAAAATCATAACAGATTCCTCTGAGAAATCGAAGAAACTCATTTGCAATACGCAAATTGAATTGTAAATCGAAGTTTACGAGAAGTTTACGAGAAAGAAGACAATTTAAGAATTGTAAAAAGTCAATTCCAGTGCTTGGCAGTTCTAGTGTTAATAAACCTATTAAAATTCATTTCGAAGTATCACAAATATTGTAAAAAAAGTCAACATTAACCCTTAGCACTCCATGTTTTGTAATTGATCAGCAACTGCAACTAATTTCATAGTATTCCCATCGAAAATGAGAAATGTTATAACATTTCCTCGATCTTTTATTTTCCTTGTTAGTACAAAATTCGGATGTGGAAAATAGAATAATTTTGGGGTAGTTTCTTTCAGATTCATTGAAATACAGAGTTCAAAGGGTTAATTACTGCAATATCGCATTCGATAAAAAAGAAAAACTCACGCCACCTTTCACTGCGTAGATAACCCTAGCAATCGTACCGTCCGAAGAAAAAAAAGAGCAGTAACCGTAGACAAATAACTGCATTTCCTACGTTACCGACTGACGTCACGACTTATCTACAGAGATCGCGGACGGAGATACCGGGATCGTTCGCGAGGTGCACGATCTCTGTAGAGCAGTGTCCCCGATGGCCGTGTGTCACGTCATGTCACGCTGGCCACCAGTAACGCACCGCTGTCGCAGCGAACTGGCAATGATGCGAAGGAATTCTGATCGCGCGAACTTTGTACAAATAGTCATAGAGTGAACGCGGTGCCGATAACGCCGATACCGTTCGATCGCGATCGTCGAAGTAAGCGCGCCTCTTTCCGCCTTTCGCCCGTCGGTTTTTCCGAGAAGAAAACGCGAACCGATTCCGAGGAAACGGATTCTCTCTCTCTCTCCCCCCGGCCGCGAAAGGTTTTTCCCCCGGGTCCCTGAAAAAGTCACGTAAGAGAGGAAGGACGAACGACGCTCTCCGCGTTCGTTCCCTCGGCATTCGCGTGAACCGCCGCGTTCCTCTTCGACACGTTCCGCACGGGAAACCCATCAGAGAGAAGTGAAAACGTGAACAGTCGAGCGGACAGACGCTCGGCCAGCAAAGGTGAGCGAGATCGGGGAAACTAAACTGGACCTATTTTCTTGACACCGGTCCAACTGGGAACTGATCCGGCGTTCAAGAACGCGAGCCGACGTGCTCGCGAGGGACATCATCCGACTGTGACACGCCGATTCGCGTGAAACACGGTGGGGTAAAGGACGGGAGAGACTGAACGTTGACTTTCAACGTTCTGTGGGTTACTGAAACTTTCATCGCGGAGGCGAATAGTATTAGAGATCATTCTTGCCGATTTGTTGTCTAAGTTTTTTGGTTTATCTGTTGAATTATTTGGACGTGGGGTAAAAGACAGTAGAGATTAACATGTTGACTTTCAATGTTTTGTATGTTACTGATACTTTCATAGTGGAGATAGATATTGTTAGAGTTAATTATTACCGATTTGTTGTCGTAGTTTTTATGTTCTGTTATCTATTTAATTGTTTGAGAATTATCTGGTTAATCATTTGGAACTGGGGTAGAGGACAGTAGAGATTAACAAGTTGACTTTCAAGGTTTTGTATATTACTCATGCTTTCATATCGGAGGCAAATAGTATTAGTTAATTATTACCGATTTTTTGTCCAAGTTTTTGGGTTTGTTATCTGTTGAATTATTTAGGAATTATCTGGTTAATTATTTGGAAGCTCCATCGGTGACCAACCGATTTTCATAGTGTCCAGAACCATACAGAATTTTGATTATCCGTAAAGTCAACAATTTGAATTGTTATTGTATTTCATCATACGCATGAGTTTTATAAACATGCTTTAAAATATTTCTCTTTTCGATTTTTGTTTATTCGGATCGTCCTTCGTTCATTAAAACCGGCGCGTCATGGTTGGATCATTACCATTGTCAACTGAAATTCTATGGTATAAGAGAGATTGTGTTTATAATCCTAGGAAGACTGCTTCAAGGCTAGGAGACTTATCCTTGTAGCATAATCATGTAATTCTGGTAGTGGAGACAGTTCATCTTGCGTGTTTGTTTAACACTAGAACTACCGATCACTTAAACTTTTTTTTACAAATTTCTCCATAAAAACCATAATTAGTTCCCTTAATAATTTTTCGTATAAGCATCTGTATCTTTTCAGTAATCATAAAAGAGAAAATCAGAAATAAGTCATTCTGACCAATTTGGCAATTCTGTATTAATATTCTAAGCAAGAGTAATTATATTTTTAATATTCCGAAACTAGGCTCAGGAGGATATCAATTTCCTCCAAAAACTAGAAAAATGAAGTATAAAAGTATCTTGGTAAATAAACGAGAATATTTCCCTTACACTTACAGCTAATAACAATTATCATCGAATGAGTCCACGACAAATGCGGACATTACTTAGTATCGCGTAATTTGAGTAGCGCTATGTGTATATCCTCTTCTGCAAACTCATATTTTTTGCCTCGCCCCGTTGACCAGTGACTAAAATGTAAATAATACGCTTCATCGGACAGATAGTGCATCTGGCTGACACTTTACACTTATCGATGTACGCTACGCGTTGCCCATTTCGGTAAATACCATTATCGAACTAGGTTATGAAATTCTCGCGCACAGCCGAGCCGGAAGAACGATACCTATTTCATACACGGATATGGTGAAACTGAGTTTCCTTGAACCTAAGGCAACATCTTAGTTATCGTCTGTTACGTCGAATAGGCGATAAACAAACCACACACGGTTATCGGAGTCGTATAATATCGGCACTGTACGTCAACCGATATAAAATTTTATTGGGACAACATGTGCGTATCGGCATCGATGCACTTGCAAATTTATTTAGTCGTTGTACACAAGTCGGTCATCGTGATTTTCAATCTCCAAGTACACTATTTAACATTGGAATTATTCGAAGATCCTTACCCCTTAAAATTATCAATATAAACTATAATTAATCTATGAATGATCAATCATAATCCCCAATTATACCCCAATTATTTATAGCTATTTAACATTGGAATTTTCCGAGGATCTTCGTCCCTTAAAATTATCAATACAAACTATAATTAATCTGTGAATGATCAATCATAATCTCTAATTATACCCCAATTACTTATATGTAAATTATTTATAGCTAACACTGAAAGTTTCGCGAGGATCCTAGCCCCTCGAAATGATCAATACAAACTATAATTAATCCGTGAATGATCAATCATAATCTCTAATTATACCCCAATTATTTATATGTAAATTATTTAAAGCTAACATTGAAAGTTTCGCGAGGATCCTAGTCCCTCAATGTGATCAATACGAACTATAATTAATCTGTAACTGATGACCCATAAATTCCCAATTACACCCCAATTATTAATCCGTGATTAATGAGGGCATAGTTATTCACTGCGTCAAACGCGGTGAATCATTTCCACAGCTCTCTTGTTCTTTGAAAGCTCGCTCGGTGCTTTCATCGGACAAAGAGCGTCCTCTATAGAAACACAATGTATTCGAAGAGACATCGTTATCGTTAAGGACGACAGAATGTTTTTGCGTCGTCCGTACGTATTGACAGGTATACACGCTGTATGAATTCATAACGATGAATACAGTGTGCACAGACGAACGAACCAGTTCCTGCATAAAGCAGCTCATTTCATTTTTACGGTACACCGATATTCAAAAGAGTCCCCGCGGACCATACGCCCTATCGGGACGTGTGAATGATTCTTGCCGGAATCACCGTGTCGCGTTCGGTTCAGACCGGCGACACAGTCATTCTTTCAACTCGATTATACCTTCCAGCGACCGACACAAAGGAAATCTCTAGCGAAAATAGCGGCGATGATTAATTCAATCGTTACGGTACAATGTAATCGCGTTATCGATGTTTCCCTGACCTTTGTACCTCCCAACCGGTGCCATTTCGCACTTTATCGGTGACCACGCGACCGTCGTTCACCATTGCCTCTTGGCCAACATTTTCGTTTTCCTTCCACCTCGACGCACGCGTTTCGAACCGTCGAAAACTCTGTTTTTTTTTCAATTACCAATTCCAACGATCCATAATGACTTCATCGCACGATTCCTATGCGCGATTACGTGAAAGTCAACCGTGCCACTCGCGAGCAGCACAATTGCAATCCGGATGTTTATCGAGCATTCTCTAATCGATACACATTCTCGTCACTCGCGGGACCGAGAATCGAGTCTACCCGTTCGTGGAAATTGAAACGAGAAAAAAATGTTACCGGAAATTATTGTTCCACCGCAGCTTGCACAGAAGCCGCCGCGAATCACGTAACCAGTGGCGCATGCATTTCGTCATAATAATACTGCGTGCTCGATTTTTACGAAAACTCGCGCGTCACCTCGTACGTTGTTATTAAACAGCGGAATCCGAGCTGCGAGTGACGTTCGCGCGACGGGACATTTTTATTTCCAGTTGCTCTATTTTGGACCGAGATGATTCGTGCCATTAACGGTATAGGTCGCGGCGGCGTGACCGGCAAGAATCTCTTGCGCATTGGATAGGTTCACACAACCATTCCCTTCGACGTCACGAGGAGGGAGAAAAAGGAATGAACGATTGTAATAAGGTTCGATGAACAGTTTGAAGTGTCAATAGAGTCTCGCGACGGGCTCGACGGTCCCGATCGTTTGCTTGGGCGCAACCGTATGCCAAATTGGTGGCAATTAAATCCGTGAGGCGGTGGTGTGACCGCGGCGAATCAGCTGCCAGCTGATTTACAAGGGTCTATTACCAATCGTTAAGCCGTCGTTGTCTTTTGTAAACATAGATTTGTGCTAGAAACCGGTCGGCCAATATCTCGCTTGGAAACGTCGCGAGCTAACTCGACGCGCTCGCGGGCAGTACGAATTTTAACCCTTTGCGCTCGGAAGTTTTTCACTTGAAATATTTCAATATTTTCTGATGAGACGAAGACGATATTTTGTGAAACCAATTCGACGAGAAATTCACGTGAATTGACGGACGAAGATATTTTAGGTCAATATTTCTCAGATTGATGCATTATGTGAAGTATAATATTAAATATCGAACTTTATAGCTTCACTGTAGGAAATCAAGTGGTGACTGAGAGTCATCTCACCAAAATGACTGGTTTCGATTTTTTTGTTTAGCATTTATTGATATTTTCAAAGCATTGAATATTCGAAATGATCTTGAAATTAAATAGTTTCATTTGAGTACTATTATGAATGTCTGAAGAAACTGAGAATAATCTATTGTTACAATTTTTATAAGGATTGCATATTAATCGTGTTAAATGCTCGGTAGTTCTAGTGTTAATGAGCCGCAATGGGAGAAATGCAAATGTACTCCGAGGGTTAGAATGCATAATAATTTCAAAAAATGTAGGCTATGTAGAATTGAATTCTGGACAATGTGGCTTATAAATTTCAATGATTTAGCATTCGTGTCATTCTGCATCACAATGAGTATGAATGCTATAGCATTCGCGTCCGCGAACGTGTTAATCGAGTCGCTTAGAAGTCGATCGGTTAAGTCGATTCTTTATTTTCTGATTTTTGTCAATTTTAATGGAATAGATAATATTCTGTTTAGGTATGGAAGTTTTAGATTACATTAATTTTCTCAATGTTTGTTTTCGCCTGTGCCTTCTCACTTTTGTTTATCGAAGCTGGTTGATGAATTCTATTGTCCTGAGCTAAATAGTTTCGATAAAACGAGGATTAACGCGAAAATAATATCAGTAAGAATAAATACTGAATCGGTCCAGTAAGCTAAGACAATGATCGAGTGAATCATTGCGAGGATGACGCGAATATTTGTCGACTCCGAGAAACCGTAGGAGTTCCTTTGGTAACGGGAAAACTGAATATTCATTAGGATAAAAATGTGTAGAAAACAAGTGTTTGAAAATTTCAAAAATGTATTCGAAAACTTTGGAGAAGTATTCTACTATGTCGGGATGGAGTGTCCCCTTTAAATAATTTCCGTGTTCTATTTTTGCCCGCAGCACAAAGGGATGCCATCAAAATGGGCTTGGATAATTTTTAATCTGGTGATTTACGCCGCCGCTTCGTTCGAAAATGACTCAGCGAAGGCTTTCATAGAATTAATCGAGTTCGATTACGAGGATTCTTGCGCTAGTACAGCTGAAGCCGAATGGACATTCATTAATTTCCCGTCTAATGAAACGTTGTCTACATGGGTAAATCTTTGACCATATAAACTCGTCTGTACCTATAAATATTTGTATATTCATGGTGTACACAATGTTCCATTTAACTTTGGCTATTACAAATATTGTCTACACTGTGAGAACATAGTTCAAACTATGATCAAGTTAAATATTAGATGTGTATTATGTATGAATATTTGTGGAAGCATCTAAATAATTTGATAAATCTATCTAAATATTTTCTTCTTGTGTTACAGGAAGAGAAACTGATAGATTATGCTATATTTAAGAACGTACACAGAATTGAAGTTGCTAATAAGTCCAAGAATATCAGTGATCCACCCTTGAAGTACAAGTATGACATTGCTGTGACAATAGGTGATGCCCTATTGAACCAGAGTGATTTTAGAAAAGTGAGTTGTCTCGTTTTTGTAAGTTATATTTTGGTATAAGTTTTCATATGGTAATTCTGTTGCAGCTTGTTCGCTTTGCTGGTGCAGCAGAGTTTCAAAGGTTATCTGCAGTGCATAGAGGAGTATTGAAGAACCACACACGTAAAGGTAATAATATCGATAATTAATAGAAGAGAAAGTATTCATGAAATGTTGAAGATATCAATGTTTTCAGATGTGGAACGTCAGCTGTCTCTTAATAACAGTATTGAAGAAAAGAAAAATGTTTGGACAGCTTGGCATCAAGAGCTGGCCGTGTTAGTTAAAAATATTTCAACTATACTCCCACTTGTTGAACAAGCTGCCAAAGAAAATGGTTAGTGTTTAGAAAGAAAAACTCAATCCTGTGCATGTGTACATAACAGTATCAATATTATTACTATTTTAGGTGCCAAAGATGTTACAGAATACTGGGAACTGTTAAGTGGATTCCCTGATGGTTACAACAAAATTAAATATGAATGGAACAAAATTGCTGATCTTCATAAGAAACTATTGAAGCATGTAATGAACAATTTTTCTCACAAGTATCATATCACTATGAATGAGACTGTCCCAGCTTATTTACTTGGTATATCAACAATACAAAATTCTGAAATTTATAAAAATTGTTTTTGAAAATATTCACTTATTTGTCTATAACTTTGTGTAAAAGGGTCGCTACAAGGAAGTGAGTGGACTCCCATATCAGTGGATGCATCTTCTGAGCCAGACTTAATGTTCGACATAAAAAAGAATCTTTGGAAAAGAGTAAGTAATGATTACTCCAACAGTACTCGTACTTGCATACATAGACTAACATATTAATCAAACTTCGTTTTAGAAACTTCTTGGTAAAACACTGTACAAGCGTGCTTCTGACATGGGTATGCAACTGCTAAAGCATGTTCCAAATTCAGAATTTTGGGATAAAAGCCGTTTCAACCAACAGTGTCCATCAAAGCTAATTAATTTCTGTAAAGGTGGCAACTTGAGGTATGCATGTGAGGGTGGAATGAATCAGATAGTTAATTTTCTTTATACAACGACTTCATGAATAAAATCATTATCATTACAGAGTATCCACTTGCTATGAGCCCACTGTGAGCAATTTTGTTTCTGCTCATAAGAACGTAGGAAAAACTTTATTCAATCAGATGTCTGCGAACAATATTATAGTACTTAATACAGCCAACCGATATTCCGGTAAGAATAAAAATATTAACAAATATTCCAAGTACGCCAACACGACGATTAACGTTTACATTCTTCCCCAGTTTTGGAAGAAGCCGTGTCAGAACTGTTTGGCATCCTAGCAGCTAGTCCTGCTTGGTTGAATCATGTCCGCGTTATAGATAATTCTACTGATAACGACCAACACCAAATGGTATCTCTAATGATAACAGCACTAGATGTACTCCCTAGGCTAACTTACTACATGGCCGCCGATATGTGGAGAATTAATGCCATTCAAACAGGCATCACCGATTCCAAGGAATTAACCGCATCTTGGTGGCAATACAGGTACCAATTTTCCAAGTATTAACGTGACACGCAAAACAAATTGATTCCATTAAATATTCAATCGAGCATTCTTTTCAAGGCAAGAGTACCAAGGCATTGACGACGATGGGACAGAAATACCTACGTTCTTAAACGACGATTATATCACCAGTAATAAACCATATCTTCCGTAAGTAGTAATCAGGGTAACCATAACTCTATCCTAATGCGGCCACGATGTTAACAAAAACGTTGATTCCATAGTAAGTTAACCGGCACGATTCTTGCGTTCCAATTGTACCACTACCTAATGGAGTCCACGGAAGTGAGATACGACCTGATAGAGGGAAAACAAACAAAAGCTGACTTTATGTAAGTATCATGTACAATGTGTCGTATTATTTGAGAACAAAGGATGAACAATATATTTTTCTAACAGAAAAATGATTCACCACGGAGGTAGCGATGATTGGTCAAGAGTGATCAACACTTTCTTGGAAATAGACGAGATATCACCTTACTCGCTTGTATCGTTCTTCTCTATGTTGGAAGATCTGATAGACACGTTAGACGAAGACTTCGAGTACAGAGCGGCGACCGGTAAAGAGTCGGAGCTACAGGAATTAGAAAAGAGGATCATCGAGGAAGTTAATGCCCCCACGACGACCAGCACAGCGCGTACCACTGTCGCGAAGAGGAAAATGACGACGGCGATGCCCCCCAATAAACAGAACGACGGAAAAAGCGATACGAATGCGGTAGCTGGTAGCGATAAGAGCTTAGATTCTAAGTCATCCGTGCACGCGACGGAGGAGAAGTCGGCGAACCATAAAACGTTACAATCAGAATCGTCAACTAAAGTTCCTTTTAACGAGTCATTATACAATAGTATAGAAGAAGACGATGAACAAGACAATAAACCAAAGATAAATACTAGTAAAGCGGTGTGGGCGGTTGGAGCGGTGCTCTTAGCGACGATAGTGATTTGCGTGATAGCGATTTTCGGCCGACGGAGATGTCGTAAAACGCCAAAAAATAGACGATACGTTTAACAGCCGTACGCTCGGAGCATAGAGGAAGCATATTTCGGTGATTATATAGAATCGTACACATCTCGCAGATTTCAATTGTATTGAAAGACGTTATGAAAATCGATGCACCGATTCATTTCGTGTACGAACGTGATCGTTGCTCGCTTCTCGACAATTTTGTATCGTATTATTTTGATGGTATTGTTTGTATTCTGACAATAGAATGCATTGTATTAAGAATACTTTTGTAAATACGTATCTTGGAAATTAAAGCAGAGCAGTGTTTGTATTCGTACGTGAAGTGAATCAGGACATTGATCTGAACATATTTCAAGATCACTGAAGTCGACAAGATAGACGTTATTCCATATAATTGTTGCATATTTATTCTTTGCATTTAGATCGTAAGTCTTTTTTTTTAATCCAAATACATCATCGCGAAGCCTGTCATCTAGGACACTAACCAATTCGCAATATCGAGACATTGCACATTCCTTACGCTGCTCATTGTTCAAGGAAAACGATATTCTCGTCACAGTTTCTCAGGTCAATGAGCGATTCATGCAGGAGAGAATGTCCAAGAAAATTCATTGAAATTTCGAAGATGAAGACACGGGGAAAAGTTGGAATCATTTGTTCTACCAATTCGTCATCGAAGTGTAATTTAAACTGCGATATGCGTATGTACGTATGCATAGTTTAGCCGCTTGTCTTACGAATTTTTCTTTCTTTGCGTTCGATGGCGCGAAATTTTTCGCGCCATTTCGCTTACACGAGTCAACGAGCAGGTTCGAACCTGCCCAACCCGGAATCGACCAATGAGAGCACAGTCGTGCGATCGGACGTGTCGCCATTGTTATATTTTACTCAGATTACTAAAAATAAATATTGATAGGATGTTACTGTAAGATAAGAGGTTAATACTGTTCCAAGACGAAAATGATATATATTTGTTTTTGTTTGTATATTCGTACCGAATCGCCCATAAATAGAACGCGAGCGTAGCGTCAAAGATTATTCTACCATGCCAAGTACAACAGTGTTTCCTGCACAAGTACGCCAAACCAATTGAAAAAAAAAAGAGAGAATGAACTTCAACGAAATTCATAAAACGATATACACCATCATCTATTTTCTATGAACCCTTTAGCCTAATTCTAGAGAGTGAACTAGCGAGTACGGGACCGTACCATCTAACATGTCACAAAAATCCGCGGAACGCGTAACATATTTTTCTACCATTCTCGCGTACGTGTGCATCATTTGTAAACGGATTGTATGGAAGATTTATATTTTTTATAAAAGTATATTTATTTTGTACCTAACAAGATACGCTAATAAAACCTTGTTCCGGTGCAGATATCGAGTTACACGTTGCATGCTAAGGTAAACCGATTCCTCGGGGAGGCTCGGGTCGATTTTTACGTAACAGATGAACAGAAAGATAAATTTTATTCGATTAACGCTCCGCCGCGTTGAGAACCACTGAACCTCTTTGCCAACTAACACACACGCATAACCGTAGACGCACGAGTGCACCGGTAACGCTTATTTAACTGCGCCGCTTTACAACGTCGCAGACAGCGAACGGATCATTTTTTCAATTTCAATTTAACGGCAAAATTGTATTAATAGTTCGTCACTTACGTTGGTTGAGTCTTCAAAATCGGTAGCCTCCATGAACTGCGCCGAATGCACGCCACCGACTTCGAGGATTGAAGATTCAAAGTTTCCGCGTGCTGCACCAATTTCCATTTGCTCACAGTAATTCGGTCGTCCCAACGGTATTCACTGTCACTTAAAAAACAATGTCACTTAAAAAATTCAGCTCAAAATATGAAACTTTCGCGGTCAAGGAGCCCCTATTCAAATGGCGCGGAGTGCAAAACTGAACTCGAACCTAATGGGTCTCCCTTTTCAAAAATGCTGTGCCCTGATTGGCCAACACCTAAATGCTATCATTGGCTAATTAAATACGTCCCCACCCTATTTCTAGATTCGCAGATCGAAATCGCGGTATTTTCGAATCCCTTTAATACACCCATAAGCCCAGGTATTTTCTATTCTTTGTTCAAGATAAGAACACTTAATCATTCAAAAGAAACATCAAGCTGAGATAACTACATGTATCGTTACGAACATTCCACCGGAACATCGCAAACAATACGAGACGAAACAAGAATCTCAACTAAACCTTAAACCAATCTTCCTTATGCAACCATTTTATTCTAACTCCCCGGTACAAAGCACCCTAAACTACCCCAACCACCTAAGAACCCTATTCACGCGTCATAATTACCATAATAATTATCCTTCGAAAGAACCGATCGAACGGAGAACTACATTTATTCAAATCGTGCGTTTGCCGCAATCATATTTCCAAGCGCGAGGTGCAGGTCATGCGAAGAAGTAACAACCTTTCCGGTCAGGGATATCAAACAGCAGAAAATCAATATAACGCGAAGTCGGCTGGCAGTCGTTCGGTTCTCGCAGTAAACGAAATTTCGCGGCTCCTGGAAGTTCATCGAAAGTTTATCGTTGTTGTTCATACCGCGGTTACTCATACGCGCGTGATCCCATTGGTAGGGGGACAAGGGCTGACAGAGATAACGGGAATATATTCACGGTGCCGGGGGAAAGGGAAAAAGTGGTGGATCAGTTGTTCGATCACGAACGGCCGGAGAGGGTGCCCGGACATGCGCAGCATAACCTCAAAACGTTAAGGGATGCCCGGACCGCGCCGACAGTTCCTTATCGTGGCGCCCTTCGCATGGATACCGGCCGAACAACGCACGGGGTGTTGGTAGTCTGAAATTGTACGCGTGTGAAGGGACGAACGACGACGACGGCGAGTCCTCGAAGGGCCTGAGTAATCATCCCCCTTTTCTTCGTTGCACGGCCCAGTCGAGTACTCGGAGAGCATGCGCGCCCGTCGCTAGAACAGGGGTTGTGTGTTGCAGTCAGGGAGGGGCTTTCTTCTTCGCCGGAGTGACTCAGAATATGCATTCCTGAAAGCACCGTCTTCGTTAACCTTTTTTTTTCCCTCGCCGGACACGAGTGACATGCGTATGCCGTTCGCCGATTATCGCACGGTGCACAAATCTCGCGACACAACGGGCGCGATGTCATAATTCGTGGCAGTGTCGAGTGGTATTACGTGGATCGACTGTCAGCTGTCCCTTCACCATGAACGTGAGTACTTCGCACCGCCTCCTAATATCGACTCGTTTCCCAGCTCCGTGGGCGTTCCTCTGTTCTAACGCGTTAACGTGATCACCGTGCGCGGAATGCGGTGCCTCGCTGTCGCCGACTGACTCGGTTACGTTACGAAAACATAATCACCGTGATCCATTATTCCTGTAGTTCCGACGATAACTTCCCGGGGCATAGACGAACCTAATACGTCATTGACCTCCGTGTCGCACATAAAATCGATGCGAAGGTTACGTCTCGATCGAGAAGTCTCTCTCGTTCTCTGCTATGCGTTTGAAATTATTAGTACCTTGCGACGAGCCTTCCTTGGGACGATTCGGTGTCGCGTCGAAATTTTCTTTGTTTTTTAACACTGCAACTACCGGGTGAGTCGGAACGACTTATTTCTGATTTCCTCTTACAATTACTGAGAAGCTATAGATACTTCTATGAGAAATTCTTAACGGAATTCGGTAATAGTAAAACTGAAATGCAATTGGAATCTCAATAAACGCACGCTTACGGTTTTTATAAAGAAATTTGTAAAAGTCGGTTTGAATGATCGGTAGTTTTAGTGTTACTGGTTTTTTTTTACCTATTGGGCCGTTGGTGCACCATAGAACAAGCAAATTAAAGAGGACAATGACGATCGATTCGAGACGCCCGGCGAGCGGAAGATAAGTGTACCAAGAAATGATTCATCTCTCTCTCTCTTTTTTTCTCTTTTTCTCTCTCTTGTTCGCTCTCCTTTTTAGACTCTTGCTTAGGATCGGGTGACCTTGTTCTTCGAAGCACTCGAGGGTTTTGTTTGTCGAGAATCGCTGCCGGTTGTTGTTCCGCGGGCTAATTACGGTCTCGACGCCTTTATTCTGTTCGCGATTTACACGGTCATAGGGAAAGAAATGCGAAAAGAGGAGCGTAGAACAAAGTCATGTGGGCCGCGGAAAGAAACGTGTTTCGGAATTGCAAAACCTACGGCAAAGGAGTGGGGGGAATACCCACATATCTTCAGTTTTATCGCGGTTGCGAGTTTCCCGAGCGATTATGTAGCTGTTCCCGTAGCGATTGGGGGAACTGAGGGTTCTGGGCAGAAAAACGTGGAATTGGAAGCAGAAAATTTGAGCATCGTTCGCAGCTAGACTAAGGTTTCTTATGCAAATTTATTTTATTTTACAAGAAAATCTACGATACAGTATTTATGTATTTAAGAATGAAAAATCAATTAAGGTTAGTTCTTTGGTTATCTTTCGTTAACAAGCATATTTAATTAAGAATGAAAAATCAATTGAAATTAGTTCTTATTGGTTATGTTTCGTTGGCAAGCATATTTAATTAAGAATGGAAAATCAACGAAAACTATTTCTTATTGGTTACCTTTTCGTTGGCAACCAGCCGGACACCGGTGACCGTCAAGATGTCGGTCCCGTTAACGTAGATCGACGATAAGCGTTGACGTTGAATTTCTATTGGATTTCAAACGCAGCGAACGAGGAATTATTGGAAGAACGATTCGGCCGGATGAAATTCGAAATTATCGGGGCATCCCAATAACGTTGAAGCTCGATGCCCCGAGTTCCAGCCGTATCTCGGGTTCATCCCCTATCGGATTCCAGATTGTTGTGCCCCGCGCCCGCACGACACTGGAACGAGAAGTATTTTCCTTTTAACGATATTTATCTTAGCTCTTGACTCGGCAAGGGGGAAATGCACCAGAATCCTTCGTTGATACTCCATCGCTGCACTTGTGAACGTTTAAAAATAGCACCGCGTTTTATAACGCGTGAAACACGAAACAGCTTAAGAATGTGGTTTTCGTGTCTCTGCATACCTGAGATTTGACAAAAATATACGTTTCATCTTAGAATCGTCATTCTCCGCTAAAAAGAGAGGGCAGAAAATTGCACCACCCTATACAGTAAGGGGTGTTTTTCAATTTCCCGGAGTCCCTTTCATAATTCACCGGTAGGATATTATTTTTTTCCCTTAGCATTAGAAATAGAAAAACATCCACGAACCTCTGGCCAACAGGAATTAATAATCCGATGATATTTTTCAGGCCTTGGCTACAGATACCGTCTGCGGCAACGGGGAACACGTTGGTGAGTTCGGCTGCGCATACGTTCCCGTGATTTATACTCCTCACGACCTATTTACAATGCAGATCAATCTTCAAAGTCAAAGCGAGCTGTTTTTCGTATTGCTTCGCTCCTAGTATATCCTTTTTTGTTCTTATCTAACGTATTCTCCTCGATCAGAAATTATTTGAAATTCTTTGCCACGCGCTTATCGCTCGCAGGAGACTGTAGAGGTTCATGCTGCTTGGTATCAAGGTTGTTTAAAGTTCGCATTAGTGTTGGATCAATTGTTATTGACAAATCAACGGATGGAAAAGATTCTTTAAATAACTCCGGGCACGCGAAGCGAGTGAAGCCGAGGGAGGCGTAATTTGAATGCTTCTTAAACACTAGAATTACCGATAACTAGCTTCTATTTTGTATTTACTATTTTCCATTTTGAAGGGTCCCTTAATCTTGTCACTGTACAAAGATACTTTAAGTAGCTTCGTAATTAGAATCCAAGGTAAACAATTCTGAAACGTGTTAATTTGCCCGTCGGTATTAACCCTAGACCATTGGCTTCTGTATCCGTGTACAGTGACTATTGTCCCCGTTTATGTTTATGGCACTAGCGCTTACCTCTCGACCCTTCGAGATTAGGCGGGTTAAACACTGTCCCACCTTTTGCTTAGCTTCTTATGCATGGTGGGATATACTTTAACCCGCCCGGAAAAGTTGAAGTTGCCTATAGTCGTACAGTTTAATGTTCTATTTAAAGTTTCTCATCCAATCGGTAATGCTATGGACTAACGATAAACGCGCGAGTAAGTGAAAACAACGATGTATGCAAGACAAAACGCATTAGCCGGCGAGACTGTTGTGATTAAGGTTGGCGGATTGCTTGTCGCAGTGAATTAACGCAGCCTGGGTTGTTTTCTCCTTTAAAATCGTGCGCCTCGAGGAGTTAAGCTCGCCTTTTTCACGGTCCAGGATTAAATGACACAATGCCGCCGAATTTTCGGTTTTGCGCACACTTAAATGACCCGCGCTGTTTTGCGTCGGGATTCCCCGGAATGTATCCTTTGTCCGGAGTCGTTTAGAGTACACCGCGCACGAAACGGACCACCCCCGGTAATGCGATTGTGTGGCAAACGGGATTATTTCGGCGTCCCGCTTCTTTCCACCTATTCGTGCGACGCCCATTAACCGAATCAATTTCGCATCGATCCCCCCGTCGCGGGTTCCGCGCGACGTGCCGGCAATTACGTCATCGTCGACGGTGAAATAAACCCTCGCCGGGCATGTACTTTAGAAATTAAGCAACCCTCGAGCGAGGCATCCGCAATGCCGAGGTACTGGAGTCCTTTGACCACTTGCGCACGGAGACTCGTCAAGCTACGGAAAACCGCCAGCAACTGAGGCTACGTTATGTATCAAATGCTTAAATAATATTGAGAAAAGGAACTAAATACTCTTGCTGTTCGAGAAATGAAATAATCTGTGACTTCGTATTCTAGATATGAAAGTTCGATTTCGTCGAAACATTCTTCTAGCGTTAACCAATTGTTTCATGTTCTATTTAATTTTGAGAACTTAAGAAAACGATCTTTGATGAATCAACGAATGTATTCTACTTGTGTAATTGCAATGGTGTAACGGTGAAGTTATATTTATATTCTATTTATATGAAGATTATAAATATTACGGATATAAATAGAGTAAGAAGCACACGTTGAAAGGAAGATCTTTTTAAACATTCTGCCCGTGCACTCGCGTTTGTCGCGCAATGCATCAAACGCGTCGCTTAATAACTCATATTGCGCCAGGCTCGACGCGATTTGTCTCGAAGCTTCCAGCGTCCTCTTATCGCTCCGTTCCACGCGTTCACGCTCGAACAGGCCAGCGAAATTACGTCCGATCGAACTGTTTTCCAGATCGATTCCGTACAGAACCTCGAGAAACAAATTTTCAAGCGGAACTCTCGCCAACTCCGAAAACTTTCGGATAAAAAAAGATGTTTACGTCTCGAGGGAGGACGGCGAGAGGCGTACGCCTTCAACCCCCTACTCTATCGGGTGCGTCGCGAGAGGAGCAGGTCAACTTTGACATTTCGAGATCGTTGGCAACTCCGAGCTTCGATGAAACTCGGCTCGCAAAGGGAGGTGACACGATCGAAATTCGCGGGGCTAGTTTCGGGGGTGGACGATAGTTCGCGAGGGGAAACGCAATAAAGGGGAACGACTTCAACCCTTTGCGAGGATTATTTAAGATATTCGAAACCCTTTACAGAAAAGTTAAATCATCGAAATCCTGCACAGTAAAGAGAAACAAGACCATGTATCAATCTTTTGTTATTCGCATAATGAAATCGGATAATTAATCTAATTATCTCGTATGCATAACATACAATTACAATAACCATTGACGCGTTCTTATCTATAATTTGAATCCTCGATTATTTCGTAAGAAGGTAATCGAAGTTCAGTCAGAAATCAAATCCAGCGTTCCGATTGTTTTAGCTTCCATTGAAACGCGTTTCCAAGAAAATACTCTCATCTCCCTCGGAATTGCCCTGCTCGTTGCCAACGTTGTTTCTCGGCTGTGAAAGTCCGGTGTCTTGAAAATACCGACATTCGTCCTGAAAGGGTTAAAGTCGGACTATTTCGAACGCGATTACCGAGTACTCGAGTGACCGAGTTCCGTTCGGGGCAACGGATTAAAGTGGAGAGAGTAATATCTATTTCCAACGGTAACGCAGTAATTAGAACAGAGTTGTCGGGTGAAACGATAATTCGATTAGCCTCGGTTCGATTCCGCTCCGCGCGACGGCGTAAATGAATTTCAAGGGAGAGACGCTGTCCGCCCTGTATCGCGCGCCGCTCTCCTAAATCGTCTCTCATCGATCCCTTTATAATTAGACAGCGAGATTCGAGATTTTACGCCGAGCGTGACTAATATCGCCTTAATCCACGGATCCACGAGTTCTCAACGGTGACATTTATACGTGCATTCATTACCGTACGCCGCGCGATTATTTCGGAGACCTCTACCGAGCGATTCCCGTCTGAGTCAACTGACCAAAATTCAGTAATTTATTTCCAAGTCGCTTCTGGAAATAGTCGAGGCCGAAAAGCTGAGAAAACTCGATCGATTATTTTCCATCTCGCTTGATATGCAATCTGAATCTCCAATATTAAAATTGAAACGAACCATGAAGCTATGAAGACCGAAACAAATCGAAATTTTTCAAAAATCGAATTAATTAACATAAAAGCATATTAATGAATGAAGTGCCATGCTTATATGGTGCTCCGTTGAGGGTGACACTAGATTTACGAGCATATATTCCACACGTTATCCTACTGTTCCCAGAAAACTACGTATTTGTCTGTATAAATCGCGGAAGTTATAGCCTCGAAACTAGAATATCACGAGGCGCGTTCGCGTGAGTGCACGAATCAGAATTGACTGAAACTGCCATTAAATGATGTTGAAAAAATTCAATATCCGTGAAATCGTCGGGTTCCGTAAATCAAGCGTTAAAGAGGATAGTCGCGAAAGATGTCGCGTGGCTAGGGGTTGAGGGTTGAAAGGATCCCTCGGGGAACAACGTGAGAGCGCGTTCACGTTTACGTGCGTCGAATGGAAGCCGGTCGGAATAGAGCTGCTCTCTATTCCGGCCGAGGCGGAGCGGGTATTTATTAATAGAGATTAAACTCCGCGTCGTGTCGTGCCGTGTGCAAACGCTCTCCCGCGCGGGACGCGCGCTGTTAGGGCAGTCTGAGTCAGACCGCGGTCCAGAAACTGATTCCGCCAAAATAAACGTGGAAAAATACTTTTCTGCGTTCGCGCGCGCCTACCGCCTACCCTACGTGAACTCTTCGCCGTGATCGTCTTCTCTCCGCGGATTGATCCACCGGAAACCGGCGATCCGCCGCGATCAGAGCGACAATCTCGGTTAATCAACTCGTGTCAAGTGTTCCTGAATCGAGTGATTCACGCGAACACCGATCGATCAACGCCGTCGACGCGATAGGAAGCGTGATTTTCGCGTTCCCCGGAACTGGACTTTCAGTGGTGATCGCGGCGATTTTTCGACGGACCTTTAGACCCGAGTGATTCATGAACGTCGATCGATCGATGGAATCGACGCGGCAAACAACGTGATCTCGCGATAGAGAGCTTGGACTTGAAGTGCTGTCTGTTCGTGAGGATTTTCGCCTGCACCCGATGAACTTGTTATCGAGTGATCCGTAAACGCTGATCGACCAATGGAATCGACGCGACGAAAAGCGTGATTCCACCTAGGATAGAGAGCTTAGACTCTGAGTGGTGTTTGTGACGATTTTTCGCCTGCATCCAGTGAACTCGAAACAGAGTGATAAACGCTGATCAAAGCGGATCAACGCGATAGAGAACTGAATTCCGTGGTTCTTAGGACAGAGGATCTAGACTGAAAGTGGTGTTTATTTGTGGTGATTCTCCGCCAGCATCCGGCGGACTTGAACCGTCGTTGTCGCAGTGTTCTTCCCTGTGTGCTCGGTTTGTTTTCGTGTCTGTGCTCGCCCACGAGGCCACTTCTGGAGAACCGTGCCCACAGGTTCGCCATCTCCTCGCGATCGATCGATCCTATTGCATCGCGTTGCCCGCGCACTGGCGTTGGTGGGGGCGGAGAACGGTCAGAGGGAGGAAATAATGTTTGCCCCTGTTTTTTTTGTCCCTCCTCCTCCTCCTCCTCCTTCCTTCTTTTTCTTCCCGAATGCCACTCGATATTCGATCATAGGTCGACGTTCATTCGCCGGCTAAATTAATTCCGATTCGACGGGTCGTTACGCCTCGCGCATCCTTTATTGCGACGGGCTCGCTCGAACAGCCGCACTTCACGCTAATGAGCTGCTCCCGTGCATTGTGCTGTTTACCGCGGCACCACTGGAACAAATCGCTCGTTACTTATCGACGCTGGGACCGTTCGAGGGGTTAATCGAGTCGTGGTTGCCGAGGGATTCGGTTTCAACCCCTAATCGTCGTCTCGGATGTTCCTTTACCTTCCTCCTAAATGAATCTTCGTAACGTTGCTTCGTCACCCGGGGCGATTGTTTCGCGTTCAACTATATGCAATTGTTCTTTCTAAGAAGAACCGCTAGCTCCGCGCTTCTATGTTTATACGCTCGCTGGCTTGAACAACAGTTCGAGCCGGGAAAACGGAGTTTCGCGTTCTAATGTATTTTTAACCGACCGGTCACCTTTTCGATTTCGTCGCCGCGCCTGAAAATCGCGTCCCGTGCGGACGCTCCTTTAGCGCATTAGTCGAATAATTGACGTTTCGACGACCGTTTCCGAGATACCAGAGTTCCCCGAAACACTCCGCGGAGGAGATTAACGCAATTATCGGCGGGCGTGAGTCGACCGTTCGAGCAACGGCAGCTTTTTATCGCGGGCCGGCCCGCGCTCGATTAATCGCCCCGTCGAATCCCCGTTCCGTCTTAACGTTCGATTAACTCGAAACAATTGCCTCGCCACTTGTTGCAATTTAGGCCCGTTGAACGCGTCTGCTGACGTAACGACTATTATTACTGTTCGCCGCGCGCGGTTCGTCGCCAGAAAACCGCGTATCAGGATCGTTCCCGATCCCCGACGATCGCCCGGCCAATGCTTCCGATTACGGTTTCCGTGTAATTTCTGAATCATTTGGATAAACTCGCTGACAGCGGACGATTCACCGCGGAACAATCTCCCACCGACCGTTCTTTATCTTCCGATGCTACGTTCACAGAGATTTAATGTACAGATTATCCTATTGCCTCCGGGAACATTGACGGTCGTTTAGATCTCGGAAATTAGAGGCTTAAAAATAGACAGTTCATACTCGTACGAACCAAGATCGTCGTAAATATTCACGAAACTCTGTTTATAATATTCGACGCGCGTCAAATCGACGCGTACAGTGAACCTAGCGTCGAGGATCGATCGAAAACGCGATGCAATCGGATAGAAATCTGCAGTGCCCATAAATCAGTAGGCTTCGAATGAAAAGTTACCTTTCCCGCGACGAGAAAAGCGACGCGGACAAAATGTTCTCGAAGCTGCGCGTGTTCGGTCGCTCCTCTTTTTTCCCGGCCGTTCCGCTGCGAGAAAGGAAGCTCTTACTCGAAAGGAACGAGAAAGAGACGCGTTTCCCACCGCGGAAAGAAGTGGAACGTTTCCTCGGCATTTCGAGCTAATCAATATTTCTTTTCATTCGGCTTGGTAATTAGAAAGCGGTGCAAAAACTTTCGCGTCGATTGTACGGGAAAGATCTTCGATTAGCCCGCTCGGGAATGGAGTTCTCTTCAAAAGCCGGTCCCAAGAGTCTGCATTCCTATTTTCGTTTGCATCCGAGGTTTAGAATAGACTTTTTCGACCTTAACTGTTGATACAACTTCTTCGTTAATAGTCCATTTTAAAGAAAGAAAGATTCCGAGCATATTCTACGCCCGTGTTTGCTCTAAAGTATAATAACCGACGATAGAAAGATAATATTTATCTTGCATTCAAAAGAATCAAGCTCGTGAATTCTTTGCAAAGCTGGATACACGTTGAATGCCATGGGGGTCACCGGTGACCCCCGACCAGATCGAATTACTATAATTCAATCGATTCAACGCTGATTATTTGCAAACATTTTTATAAGTAATTCTGCCCAATGTGACATTCGGCCAGACAAACGCGCGATAAAAATAAAACGATTCAATGGGATAGTTTCATATGATATTTTTCATAGTGTATAGTTCGCTACGTGAAATCGCGTGGCATTCAACGTGTTAAGGCAAGGGGTTAAAGGGAACGCGGGAAAGGTATCACTTTTCGACTCTGGTTCCATCGAACGCGTCCTTCCTCCGACGGTTTTCGGGGACGGGCGGGTTCGATGAACCGTCCGCTCGAGATTCGTCGGGTTAAAGGGTGAAAAACCGAGGTTCCGCCGATCGAGGAGAGACAGAGGACGGTTCTCCGGCCGGCAAAAAGTGACTACGTGGGTGCAGCCGCGGCGCCGAGCCCGTCGTCATTGTCGAAGGCGTATGAACCGCGGCGAGAACGGGCTAGGCGACGCGTCGTAAACAAAGGGGCCTCTTTTGAAAGGTGTCATCGGCTGTGGGATCCGGCAGAGGAGTAAATCGACGGTGTTTTTCCCCCGGTTTCGTCGTCGTCGTCAAAGGTGCAAACGTCTTTCATGTTCGCGAGTGTGCCGGCAGGGACGCGGGAAACGCTCCTCCTCGTAATGTAACTCTCTTTCGCCCCGTTTCCCTCGAGTGGTAAATGTACACCGCGGGCCGGAATAATGAAAAGTGAACATTCTCAAACGATGGACCAGCGAGATTCATTGTCTTCGCGGTTGGACGATTGGTAAACTCTCGCTCGCGACGTTCTTCACTTGTTTTCCTTCTTTTCTTTCTTTATCTTCCACTCTGCTTTTCTGTTTCTTCGTTTTTGTTTGTTTGCCTGTTTGTTTGTTTTCTTTTTCTATCTTCCCTTCTCCCGCGAACCGCGCGAGTCGGTTTGAACAAACAGTACGTCACACGAACCGTGAGAGCGTTACTACTATGTTGTAACGTGAGATCGGTCAACGACGGACGTTGAACATTGACAAATGATGATAGTGCTTCTGCTGTGCGTCATCATGAAAATAGCCGAATTCTCTGTGGGCCGGATGAGCCCGCCATTGCAAGCGCCCCCGAGGCCGCCGTACTTTTGCCACGGCAAACGGAAGGGACAGGAACGGAAGTATCGGAGGAGGGCCGATCCGAAGTGCAATTGCTTCCTATACAATCGTAAGGACACAAGACATTACTTTGAATATCCGCGGAACGCCAGGCTACATGATCTCTGACTTTGCGCGCGAGGCCCGACGGCCGCCATTTGTCAAACGCGTCTCGCGAAAAAAGATACTCGGCGCGTTGATTACCAACGCGTTGCCAAGTAGTCTGCAACACGAAATGATTTTCATTTGAGAAACAACAATATTCTGCAAATTCAGTTTCTCTGTTTATATAACGTTGGAATCGAAACGCAAAGTCATTGTCATTGAAAAAGCTGCATAATATCCCCGTAATGTAACAAAAATATAATCACCATGTTTAGCTATATACCTTACAACTTTCATCTGTTTGTATCAGTCATACTTTTTAAGTTATAAATTATAAAACCGCACTGTACAGTGGAAGAATGAGTCATCTGAAGTTCGTTCAGTTTACGTTCCATAATTCCTGTTTTAATCGAGTCGCTAATATATTCTCGATATACCACCAACAAACAGTCTTTCGACTGCTGCGCATCGTCTGCAAACTAGTTTTGCCTTCGAAACGTTTGTCAGTCGATTCTGCAAATTCCTGCGAGTTCGGAGCTGCGCGGATCGACCCCTGAAAAACGAAGCAAGATGAAATTCTTATTGTAGCATACTTCGCGCGTTCGCGAACATTGTTGTCGCTGGAACACCTGTCGTCTACTCGTTACTAATGAGTACGGCGCGGTCCAAGAATCCCAGAATAACGTCCACAAAATTTCTAACGCGTTTCTCACCTTCGTCAGCCACTCCCACGCCCCCACCGTCGCCGACACAGCGACACCGATAGGAGCATCGTCGACATTCAAGTTCAGTGAAACAGGACACGAGCAACAATGGGATAGTCAACATCTGGACGCTAGCGGCGTCGCATTTGCTACAACCGAACAGTGAAACTCGATGCGGATTCACGTGTTCAAGGACTGACCGATGAAATCGGGAATTACACAAAAGCTCGTCGCGCGGACAGATGTGTCTCTGGACGGGGAAGGATATTAAATCTTTGTCCGACCTTTCCAGCGGTTTTGTTTCGCTTGGACTTCGTTCGGTAACTCGCCGGGAGGTTCATAGCATAGTTACAGCTGTTATAGCCTGCGTGTCACTCGTGTGCCTCCACGTTGCTCGCATTGCGTCACACCTATCTTCAACTAGCTCGGTGTTAATTTACAACGAGCATTCGCAAATGATACGAGTATAAAAAGAGAGAACTGTAAACGAAGGGTCTCCCAGAAAATCAAACATCTCGTCGTTCTTAACACTAGGTTTACGGAATCCGTCGATTTGACGGATATTAAATTTTATAAATATTGGTAAATGTTTATGTCCGTTTCGATTATAATATGTATCCTAGTAATCTATTTTTAAATCCCTAATTCCCATGATCCAAGCTATCAAATGTCAATTTTTCTAGGAACAATAGAACAAACCGCACAGTGAACGTAAACCTAGTGTTGATGAAAAGGAATCAATATTTTGCGTAATTCTCGGCGGTGTACCGGTTCCTTTCTTCCTAGAAAGAGACTGCAGGTCCCCGTGCAATTTCTTCCAACCGTGGAAAGTGATTTACGACCGCCCGAGATCGTTCCAGACGTTTCCTCCTCGTTTAGGGACAAGAAAATCGGTCTCTCAAGTGGAAAAACACTTCTCCCACAGTTTTGTGTGAGAAACGCCGGCGTGTCTCGCTATTTCGAGTACCGAGCTCTGTGGGAGTGTCCTACACGTGCGCGTAGAGCCAAACGGAGTGACGCCTTCCAGGTCCAATCCCAAACTTATCATTTCCAGAACGGTTTGCCAGCTGTTCTCGCCGAACGCTGAAACACAATAATACGTTGACCATCTACCCACTTGATAATGCATAATTCATATTACTTTATACATTTTGTCATGACACTTCTGCGTCCTTACAGTGGCGGCTCGTAGGTGAAATTAGTGGGAGCGTTGATACAGAAAATTTGTGGCCTTTGACATTAACGCTAAAACTACCAGGCGGGTCAAATGACCCATGCCTGACGACTTATTTTTGCAATTATTGGAAAAGTAACAAATGTTTCTCTGAGAAATTATTAAAGAAATTCGCTTAGTCTCCCAGAATATCAGTTTTATCTCACCGGAAAATGTTAAAATATTTCTAGTGAAAAACTTCCGAGTGCAAAGGGTTAAATGTTATCAATATCAGTGAAAATTGGTGGCGAACTTCCACAGTGCCTATACGAGCCGCCACTGTTTTATCAAATCAAATTCTAAAATCTCGCTATTTGGAATTAGAAAAAAAGCTTCAGCCGCGAAGAAACCGTGAGCCGCTAAGCAGGCACACCATACAGGCCGAGCGACAGCCGCGAGAAAATGTTTTTCGCGGAAAACGGTGAAACTACCAGTTCCCCCGCGAAGACAACAACACCTACTACCGAATAAAGGCTGGCCGTTTAACTTGTCTCGCCAGAAAATCGCGAGGCGTGAACGCGAGCCAGCAAAACGAACCGGTTCCCTTGGCAAAAGTACTCCCGGATTATATTTCGCCGGTGCACGCGTAAAATTTTCGTCAGCTCGCGAAATTCGACTCTTCAATTTCATCCCCGTCCCCTCCAACCGCGAGCCCTCTCCTTCGACGTCCCGCTAAAATTAACCGGTGCCCTCGACACTGCCGCGGAGCGCGGACCAACGCGAATGATTTTTCCAACGGCATGGAAAACCGGAAAACCGTCCAGTAGTTTCACTGTTAGATATGTATAACACAAATCCAAACTAAAATGATAAAACCGAACTCCTTATTCTTCCTCGCAAGTTACAAATTTTGGTTTAACCGATGTTCAAAAATGTATCGATACAATCACCGACGCTCGCGTTTTTAGTAGCTGAAATTAGCGTTCAATGCGTTGACCAGTTAAGTGTGGAGTTTAGTTTGAAAAATCTCCGATTGTGCAATAAAATCAAATAATGATTATACTCGTCGAATGCAGGCCAAATGCAATTAAAATATATCCTAACGAAAAACTGAAGCGAAACGAAGAAGACTTACATGTTTGTCTCAAAAAATAAATGATCCATCGTTGGAAAAGTTGCGTTGTTAAACATTTTTATTTCACATCGGTTGTCTTGTACGTTACGATTGGTTTTTAGTCATTCAGAAGCGTCGGTCACCAGTGGCTGACATGGCGCTTAACGCGTTAAAGCCCGAGAGAGAACTCGAGTCGTTCTATTCGATCGTCCGGCGATCATTTTCGATTTTCTCTCTTACGCGTTGAGCAACCGTGACGCCCGGTTGCATTACGTTATCAAGGTTGACGGGAATTATTATCTTCTTTGTCTTTTCAACGCGTAGTTTTCTTCGCCTTTTCTGTCCGCTTCAAAGACTTCTTTAATACAAATGCCGTGGGGTCGTCGGTGACCCCTAAATTGAATTACATAGTTCACTCAATTGAACGATGATTATTTGGAAATATTTCTATATTGTAAATAATGCTGTCTAATGTGTAATAGCGTCATTCAATCCAATGATTATTCTTCCATTTTGTACTCTGTGACATTGCGCATTCAACGTGATGATTATAAGACAAACGTTGATTCCAGGCATCCGTTCCCATTATAGTTCAGTAAACTGATTATCTGCGTGTCTAAATATGAGAAACTGTTGAACTCAGCGTTACTTATCTTTCTCCAATTTATGACTCGTTCGCTTATCGTTTGTCAGCGTTGTCCTCTGTAATTAATTCAAAAGCGAATTACCGTTAATTTGATTTGTGACACGCTGTGCACCATTTGATGGGTGTGAGCAGGCAGAGACCGTTGGGCGTGCAACAGCTTCCTCCGTTGTCAATCGTTTGTAACGCGAGTCACGTTGACTTTCCCTGGACAGTGCCGGAACTCGGAAATAAAGTTAAACCGAAGCTTCACAATCAGACTGCAAACAGTCAACGATGCCAAGTCCCCTTTCCACCGACGTGTCTTGACAATTCACTTTCTACAGTCGAAGAGAGACGGAACGCGTGTGCGTGGCTGCGCATTATCTCGTTCCGGCTGAAAATTCAAGTGTCATTTAGAGGCATTCCGCGTTGTCTTATGAAAAGAATCAGAATGTCGCTTCTCAGTTTCAGCGAGTAACGACGACTCGACCGAGCGACAGATACTTATCCAGCGTCGTTGTGTTGTAACCTTAATTTAAACGTGTTGTATCCGATTTCCTTTTGCCCACCCTTTACGCCGGATCGGTAATGCTCATGCGCCGCATGAGCGACCGTGTGCTCCGTAGGCGCAGTTAAAATGAATTTCTAACTATGAGCGACGGCCAGGTTGTCGCCATATGGTCGTGGGCATCAGTGTTTTCGGTTAACATTTATCCGGTGTAAATATTTTCCGCAGAACTAGATTCCGGCGACCGGCGACGATGCGGTGGAAGAAATCTCTTCGAGGTACGATTGCCGATTCAGGTTGAAATTTCTTTTACTCTTTGCATTTCTGCGAGGTAAACAATCATCGTCGCACGCGCGCGAGCAGGAATCTCGAACAGCATCCGCGGAAATGCATTGTGCATTTAACTATTCGTCGAACAGTTCATCGCTGACTATGAATGGTAACGTTCAGTGAGTTACGACGGTATTACCGCGACTGTGTTGTTTAAACAATTGCTCGACAAGTGGGCGGGAGAAGTATTGGTATACGCATCTTCGACTCCTGTGTAGAATTGTTGACACTGTTTTTCGGTATGAGAATATAATTCGTGTAATTCGATTAAAATAATACTGTCTATTTGGTATTTGGAGTAGAGTACCGTTGATTAAGTGACATCAAATCGGGCGTGTTGAATAGAAATAAAATGATTCCGTGATACGCAGTGTGTCAGACGCACATGGTGACATGTCAGTAAGTGATATATCGAATTTAATCGCGACATCGTTTTGGGCGCGTAGTTGAATTTCTTATCGAGTCATGTGTGGTTCGAGGTCCGTTTTAAATCGAAATCGACGTACGATTTAGGAGGTTTCGCTTCGTTGATTCGCTTTCGGACGTTGATCTTCGTCCGCGAGAAGTGGTTTTCGATAATCATCTATTTGTCACGCATTCGCCAAGGTGTCATCGATTGCCCAATCTAAAAGTAACATGCTCAAGTCGATCGATTAATTATTTATTACGTGACAGCTAACCTTAAAACACGCCCTCTTGAGAGCGTTGCAATGACGTGCAGCCTTGATCATCCCCGATACGGAGCACGAGCGCACTCGCTCAAATACGTCCGCCATAACCTCAGCCTGACGTCATTGGCTGACAATTCTGCTTTATCGTGAACATTCAACGCGTGTATGGTAGAGGAAGAGGAAAATACTCACATCCTTATCAGTGCGTCGTTGATGGCATTATCGGGACTAACTCGGCGATTCTTGCTCTCGTAGCGCTGTCGAAATGTCATTCATCGGTTATCTCGGCCCCGTTGTCTGTATTTGCGCGTTACATCGATAAAGAATGGTTGTCAAGTAGTGTCAGCCTCTCCTCTTTGCAACAATGTAATGATTTCAAGGTAATACTCGACTGTGCTTGTTTTCCTATGTGGCTTGTCTAATTGACAGACCACGTACGTGCCAAATTTTCATCTGCGATAATGGAAGAGTAAACAACACGGACATGTCCGATCGAAACATGTAACTGTTGACAGTAGATTGGGACAACAGGACGTTTTACAATGTTTCATTACCAGAACGAGCGAACATGTTTAAAAAGCTACGACAGTACACTGTGTATGTGAAATATGCGCTGTTGTTGTTTCTGTTCAATGCGATTCTTTTTTTTTTATCGAAAGTTGTTTTCTTTTGTGTTGTTTGTTATTAATTTGCACGATATTGTGCATTGTAGGTGCAGGTAAAGGGGCTGCGGTGATGGAAGATCCACAAACACCGGGATCAGATTGCAATTCTAATCCTGCCACAGATTCCATGCAACACGACTTAATTGATTCTGAATTTGTACAGGATAATGTGGAATATCAGTGGTTCATCGACTACGGGTATATTTGATATATATTTGAACGCGCTTCTGTTTTAACGGTTTGGTAGAAGCCTTATGTACACGTATAAAATTTCAGCTACAGAGATGGAGGGCTTCATATTCATCCTAGTGTACTGTCCTCGCTCTCTGCTTCGTATTCCAAGGAGGATTTGGGTTACTACGATGATCTTGCCCGTAATCTGGATGCTAACTTGGCTGAGATTGATATGGAGAGTTTTCGTACAGCAGATATTCATACTTTGCTTACAGCCCTGCCTGTCATGTGCACAGATCCAGTTCAGCATTCAGAGGTGATTATAATAAGAATTATTATTCACTGTACAAGTTGTATAATTTGTTATTTTCAATGTTATGTTGCAAATGAAGTTGCATAATCTTTAGAAAGTAGTTCTCCGTTATGCAAATTGGGACAACTGGTTATTTTATAAAATACGTTATTTCTGTGAATAATATTTTACATGTCATTTAAGTAAGTGACAATTGTTTTCTTGTCATAACAGTTTCAAACATTTGTATTTCTTGAACGTATCTTGTAAATAGTCTGTTCTAAACATATTGTGTATTCCAATTTCATGGCAGTTTAACTATCAAAGGGAACGATATGCCAGTATATCTGGATCTGTTATGGAAAAGCTTGACATTGGTTCATCTATCAGCCCTCATACCAGCAGCCAGGTATGACAATGGCTGAGAACGTTAAATTTGTTATCCCATGTTGATAATGAAGTTTGAGATTTAAGTGGACTTGAGTTTTGCTTATTACAAAAGTAAAATGCAATTTGGTTGCAGTACTTCTGCATGGCCAATGAAGAACATGAGTTTAAGCTAATTTGATTATGTAATAGACATAAAAGATGTTACATACCATTAAACCAATAAACCAAATCATGCCATTTAACAGATGCATGGAAATGAGCTCTGCTAGTGCTGCAAAGTGCATGATAGATCATTAATAAGCATGTAAAATACAATAACGATGTATTTCTATTTCAAGGGAGAAGATTCAGCCTGTTCAACGACGGACACCATTTCCATTTGCAAATCGTCGTTGCTCTTTTCCCCTCTGAAAGAGACACCCGTGCTACCACCAGGGGGTAGTTACAGCGTCGACTCTCTGGACTGTGAAGATATGTTACTAACATGCCAAGTGAACAACAAAGACAATTACACCATCGCGTTTGAGGGTAGTATTACAATGTACTCGGATGGCTCTCAAGATTTTGAAAATCAAGGTACAAATATAAACAATTATATCACTGTACACTAGTAGTAGACACAGATGTAGTTGCAATGATGCCTTTTACAGAGAAACAGAAAAATGATGAAACATCAGAAGCATATTACAATAGAAATACCGACTTGAAAAATGTATTAGATTTATCAATGGCATGCTCTGATTCGAAAATTTATACTACATGGAGTAACTTGAAACATTCCTCCATGAATAAAATTATGACTCGTCATCCCTCGGGCAATAATAACACGAATCCAGAATTTTTACAAGGTGTCGGGAATATTCTACTCGGGACAAATAAGAGAAGTCAGAGTTTACCAGATCTTACTCAAGCTACTCAACTACAGCACATCAATGTACCTCTAAATTTTTCTGTAAGTCTCAAAGAACCTTTCCGTGATCAAGGGTCGCTATTTAAATTGAATATATCTGTTAACAGGTCGATTCTGCGGAATCAAATAATCATCCACAACAGTTGCACAGTTCAGGATCCGTAATGAGCCATTCTACAAACGAAGAATGCTCAGACAGTGGGGAGCACGCTTCATCAGGGAAGAAGTTGCAAAACTTAAGTCTTGTGAAATTATTTATGAAACAAAAAAGTATGAGTGCGGACGGAATGAGTCTCACCTTCGACCAGTCAGACTCCGTCAGCGACAACGGATGGCCTACAAGCAATAGCGCTAGTGATAGTGGTACTAATACAAATACCCAAATACAACGGAAAAATATAAATAGTACTTCCAAATGTCAGGTGCCAGAAAGTGACTTTTCTATAAATTGGGTTAAAGGAGATCTTCACAGTAATCAAGAAACGGAAAAGCCGAAAAACGTTTCTAACGACATTCCAAAGCATTCGTCGATAATCATTGAACAGAAAGATGAAATGATGTCATCAGCATCGGTAGAAGAACTGTCCGAGAGCATGTCCAAGTTAGATTTAACGCAAGACAACGATAACGTCCAAAACAGCTTCGACGTTGCGTCCAACGCGTACGACCATCAAAGGAAAACTGCGTGGATCCGATCATTAGAGAAGAAGTATTCGATTTGCAAAACAACGGGTATTCAAGCGATAGCTGAAATGGAAGACAATGCGGTTCAAACGTCATTGCTGTTCCCGCAGCCAGCGGAGAAGGAGAATCCGTCTCTGAGGGAAACGATAGTGAATAAAAAACCAATATACGTTGTATATCCGAATTATGCGTTACCTGACTTATCGTTTTTAAATATCAAAGACACGAGGTTGGACAACGTAGCCTTGAAGCCGCAGTGCTACGGTAGAAGTAAGGTTAGCTGGAGACAACACGGCGGTAAATCTGCTGGTAGACCGTTCTCGTGCAATGACATAGATGCGTTGCGTCAACGTGGATTCTCACACGTGAAAGACTGGGAGTCGTTGACATTCCTCCTGCCTGTCGAGTACAAGAAGATCCTGCACGATGTACCGGAGGTTTCCAAGCACATCAACATCAACGAGGAAATGAAGAAACCGTTGTTCTGTTTATCACCCCCTATGCGCCATAAATCTCGACCTATAAGTGAAATCATACCAAATAACTCGTCCTCCACCAGCAGCACCGCGACTCAGCCGTCTTCTGGATACCGAGGTTCTTCTACGATATTGACCGACTCGTCGACGAACCAGCAAACGTCGAACAACACGACTAATCCGTTATATCTTTACCGTTACGATAGTATTAGTTCCGAGGCCAGTTTAGTGAGTAACGACAAAAAGGCGTACAAACAAGTCAACAAAACCAAGACGGTCTACCCGACGTTTTCGAAGCGATCCCTCTCGTTGCCGCACGGGGACCGTGAATCCGACGTTTGCAACGGAAAAGTGCCACCAAGACCACCTTTACCTAGAAGTATTTTAAGAAAAAATAAGGTTCCTGCGAGTAAGAGGTACAGCATGTTCGAAATGGGGGACGTCGAGGAAATAGAGGATCAGCAAGCACCCGAGGCGAACAAGAGAATGTCCTTGCAAGAGCCATATTATATGAACAATGATCTGCAGTTACTGTATCGCGGAAAAATTATCGACTCGGAGAAGGACATTGACGAGATGGAGGAGAGATATCAGGAGAGGATGAACGACATAATCAGCACAGGAGACATAGAGACTGAAACTTCGGAGAATAGCGAGGACGACGTGAAACAGCTGGAGGAGTATTTAAAACGTAGCGGCTTCTCCTCGCAGAGCAGCGACGGAGATATCGACGACCCTGATCTTAAATTTAGAGCGTATGTGAGAAAATTTCTAGCTCTGAGAATGAACAAGGATATTACCAAAAATACTGATATGTTAGAATCACAGAAAAAGACTGTCAGTTTCGCTGTAAACCAAAGGAAGAAATATTTAGACAATAAGGTGATTTGAAACTTGAACGTTTTATTTCATCGGTCGATTATCGGTACATTGCTAACATTTCTCCTTGTCTTTAGATCAATAATTTAAATACAATTCCAAATGAACAAAGTAAAAATTGTGCGCTTATGGAAGAAAGGAGGGATACGAGTCCTGAGAATAAACCTGTAGACCTAGGCGAAAAGAGAAGTATAAATAATTTCTTTTTCAATCGCGATAATGTCAATGAGATAATATACTCATCTGTGTCAATCAATTTTCAGAAATGATACTGTCCGTGATCAAAGCGGTGGATTTGTTGTTGGAATATTGGGACGGAGGTTTCGTTCCTACGGAACTTAAACAGAATTATGGTGATAAAAACGAGTGCGCGCAAATCTGTCTTAACCATTTATGTCCTGCTTTGTACGCTATAATGTCGGATGGATTGAAGCCACATTTAAATTCTACGTTTGGACCAATAACGAATAGCGTCTGGCAGGTTGTCGAGGCGTCTTCCCAGCAGGATCCAGTTACCAAAACACTGAACGAATTAGTACAAAAAATCAATGGCGAGGATGTCATGACAGAAGGAATGTTGAAATTCCATGCATTTGTATTTGGTTTATTAAAGTAAGTTAACGCAACTGATGTATAGACACAATCGATGATTACAATCTAATTACATTCGTTAACGAATGCTTTATTCTTTCAGTTTGAATGCTTTAGACGCGTGGTTCGCATATTTATGCACAAGGGAATCGATCTTGAGGAAGCATTATAACAGTAACAATATATTCGTCAACGCTTTAGCCAATGCGAACGCGCGTGAAGTTGTCAACGCTCTCTTACACGTTTTAAGTCCCCTCTCCCTTTGCCCATTTCAATTGGATCTTCTGTATCAGTATCGTCAGCTTCACAATAGTTTTGGAAATTTGAATAACCATAATTTAAACGTGAGTATCATTGCACAAAGGTTACAAAACAAGCTGAACGTTTCTCAAGACCTCCATCGTTAACCTAAACTGATGCATTGTAGGCTGTAAACTTTAGGAACGTCGATGTTGCTTCAAAAGAGCATCAGTTTGATAAAGCGGATGTTTGCGCAGCTGTCTCTAGTCCAAGGAAGGTACGCCCGCGTTCCTGTGTCGCTTACAGTAATTACGACGACAAATCTGGCCAGCATAAGTCAGACGCGGAAACAGTGAAGAAACGTTTAAGCAATCCTGTAGGCTCCAAAGCGATCAGGGCTTTAGATAAATTGGCGTCCGAGGATTCCGAGGATTACACCGATAGCCTGGAGCACTCGCCATTGAACAGGGCGTCGAGCAAGCATCATCATCCCGCCGCTCGTGTAAAGTCTCGTAGCCCGGAGAAGAAGACAGACGAGAACATGCCTGGAGAGATGAAGTTCAGGAAGCTTCAGGAGAAGTGGGAACTAATGGTTGGAAAGGAAGACACGAAGAACCAAGCCACGCCGTCTCCTTCGTCGCCAACGCGAACACCCACCAGTTTAGGGAAATCGAAAATTCCCAGGCTCCTTACGTCTCCGGTGAAACAGTCGAACACCGCCGTAGGTCACGCTAAGAATACAAAATCCCCGGTCTCGGGGATTCCGTCGTTGAAGAAACCTGTCATGTTGTCGACGACGAAAACCGCACCAAAAAAGCCTGTAGAATTAAGGAACAAAGAGACAACAAAACGTACCAGCAGGGTAGACGTGGAACACGCGGGAACAGCGCGAACCTTAGCGCGACCTAGTTCTCTGCCCTACAAATCTTATGGTGTGATGTCTAAAGAGAAGCACATGGTGTCTCCGCAGAGACGAGCAGCGTCCACATCTTTACCACGACCAACCACAACTGCAGCTGCTACGAGAAATCCTCCTACAAAGAAACCTCTGAAGTAAGTACAAGATTTAATTTGTATTATTCAATTATGAATGGATTCATTGTTTTAGTCACCTGGGAATAACTCATGTTTAGTAGAGGTTCGAATTTTGTTTTATTATCAACATGGCATTAGTGAAATACTTTAGGATATATTATTTATTATTTGCAGTTCTAGTGGTACCATCGGTAGCAGTGCGTTATTAAACATAATTATTATTCATATATATTTTCAGATCTGATCTCATGTTACAGTTGTTAAGAAGCTTTTATACTTTCTTTGAGTTTACAGATTGGTTGCTTAACGTTTCGTTTGTTTTTCTGTTTTGATTTTATAGATTAATAAAATAACAGTACCGCAAATATCGGTTCCAGAGAGGTACGCACCATCACACACAGAAATCCGTCAGATAACAAAATGCTTCTTGCATTCGGAGAAGGCGAGAAGCTGAAAGTGATTCTCGAGGTGGACAATAAATGGTTGTTCTGCTCGAGGGGTGATCAAAAAGGTTTGGTTCCGCGGAGGTGTGTGTACAATATTCAGACTTAGCCCCGCATGTAACGCGCGTGCCGCCGGTATAACGTTTTATCAGTGTGGGGACAATGTTTCAAAGACTCGAACGTAATTATACGGAAATAATAATATATTCGACGAAGTGTATGGAGACAAAGGAGAAACCGTGTACAGTGTATCAAAGGAAAGGCATAGAATTGTTTCTAAAAAGTATTGCATAGTAATTGTTATTACTCATAATTGTTTGAATTGCTTGAACTTTATAACGGAAATCGCGCGATAGTATTATTATATCACTCACCAACAACAACAACAACATCATCAGAGTATAATAAAATGAAAGGAAAAATAGGTACCGCTAGTCATAGGCTTTCAAACCAGATTATATTTAATTAAACTGAACATACACACCTATTTATAACCAGAATGTACATATATACAGTAAAAATATATGATAATAATACGATGATGATAAAGACGGCAATGACATGTAATAACTTATGATTATTATGAATGTAACTGTGATCATAGTGTATAGGCGAGTAAGTTTATTAACTGCGACCGTGCGCGGTGTAACGTTGAACTTTTTATTTTTACCGTTATAACTTATATTTTTAGTCGCGATCGATTCCATACGTCGCACCGTTTAACGAGCATCTCATTTTAATTTTATCCGATGTATAAATTATTATCGTCGTCGCGCGCTTGTGGTTCGCAACAATCACATTTTTTTACTTGCTTCATGTATTCTTTAGTATGCGGGGAGCATACTGTGTAATCAAATAAAATCTACAATTGTAATTGTAACTCGTTCCTGTATACTTCCTCGTGTTATAGTATACTTCCTGTAAGGCATCCTGTTTCTTTAGAATATAACATTATTATGAGTAATACGTGTAATATACGAAGTAAACAATGCGACTACACACTGTGTCCAGAAAGAAATCGAACCTCTGTAATTCTCGATATTTCTCTAATGATGTTTAATAGCGTTTCATAAATTTCTTTTACCTTTCACTTTTGTTAAAATTCGGTAAGCTAGTTCTTTCCTGCCCTGCTTACTAAAAAGTCTATTACTTCGGTTCCCTTTATTATGTAATCATTACACATGAAATTCTCTAGACATTTAAGTATTCGTAGATTATATTGTTTTTTATTTTTTCAAGCACCGCTATTTTATTTCCTCTTGTACGCTACGTAAC